ATCGATGGGCATTGAGCGCCTGGTATGGATCTCTGTGGCTGGTTAGTTTGGCATGGCTGTGCAAGCCAACAACGAGGGATCCTGGTCTTTCACAATGACCAATTGAGCGTCACAATGTATAATTGGTACTTTTTGGTTATGTGGGCTGGGAGCAACGTTCCCGCAAAACGCAAACCGAAGGGAGCCACAGCACCTAAATGTTCACATGATCCTTCAGCGGCTCACAGAAGTTTTTGCTCACTGGAACTGGTACGGCAAGAACTTGATGAGCCTACGTAGGCCTAACTCCAAATAGTCTCGGGCTTGTTGCCTTGCCCCAGTTCGGGTTGTGTCCTAAAATCGGAATCGGACCCCTACAAAGGGCCGTGTTTTCTTTCGGTTTGCCAATGCGCCGATCACAAGTCACGCTTCACAAATCGATTCCCGAGTTTTAATTGACACACCAATTTGTCCTTGAACACTTCAAAGGTGCAGTATGAGCCCAGGGGCCAAAGCATGGCCGGCTTTCCAGTCGAAGAGATATTTCATGCCAGTATCGAGAATTCAACATTATACTTATATAGTCTATCCCCATCATCTAGCTGCACCTAGCTCTTTTCTGCTGAGAACCAGCAAGGACCAAAGGTTCATGAATGGGACGTCCAAGGTAAAGGGGTGCAGAGTTCCAAACCGTGACCGCCCATTGTCCATTCCGCGCTGAAACGCTAAATGATCCCCATGGACATGCGGTTGATGCACGTCAGCCCCTCAAGTCACGTGGGTCTTTCTTTGAGGCTCGGTACCCTTTTGCGGGGCTCTTTATAGGTCTGCTGCAAGATGCGTGGCCTACAGGGCTTAGAATGGGCGGTCCATATTTGTCGGATAGGCTCCAGGCGATAGGGGTGGTTTGCTGAACCGCGCAGGAGGTCTCGTCTGAGCTGCTCAAGGCGAGATCCTGTCGTGGGATCCCTTTTGGAATGATTGTTGCGTGTATGTTGTTGTCTATGTGTCTTGTCGTTTTTTCTTCGGAAACCGCGTCTTGGTCACGCTGAGGGGAAACCAAGACGAAACCATTGAGTCTGGGGATGAGGCCCTATTCGATCCCACCTGGGGTCGAGGATGGCATTGGCTATTCAATCTGCCCATTGTATGCCGAGCTCGCCTGGGATCTCAGACAACCTGAATGCGAATTCCTTCGAGTGAGCAATCCGCACAGGACTTCCTTTTGCGAGAATCCTGGAAGCCCGATGCGCACCCCGATTGCTCTAGTGTCGCAAGGGCCTAGTTGGGAGGACTTCCCACAATTCCACGGGTGAGTCAACCATGACCAAGAAACAGAAATACACCAGCCCTGTTTTTGAGGTCAGGGCGCTTTTTTTCGGGGTGTCCCATCTTTTCATGGACCCCACGCGCCAGCATTTTCGGAGGGCTCCTTCGCCTTTGGCAGCTGCCACCAGGCCACTTGACTTGTCACGAAAGCTGGCCAATCTCACGGTCTGTTTATTTGAAGCTACGCATGTTTGGGTTGGTTCAAATGGAATCCACATGGAACACCATTTTAAGGGGTTCCCCTGTTTTGTCACACAGATGGGGCGTCAAGAATAGGGCCCGTTTCTGGACCCTATCACCTTGGTGCTTTCGGAAGTTACCCTCAAATCGCTCGAGCTCAAGCCTTGGCCCATGCGAGGCATGACATGGGCACGTGAGGCTGGGCTTTTGCCAAGCCCTTGCACAGCAGCTTGAGAACAAGTGGGGGCCGATCTCGTTCATCAAGAGACCTTTTCTGTGGCTTCCAGCTGCGATTGCCTGCCTTTCATATAAAGGATATGATAAGGGGCTGATTCATTACCATCGCCGTGCTCCCTTCATCATGACCTCAATCTGCCAAAACATACGTAAATTCTAGGTGTTAGACGAGCCCTCTCACCCCAGGCCAAGTGTTGGGGACATTTGGTGGTATGAACCTGCACCCCAAGAAGGGTCTGCAAAGGATTCATCGAGCCCAAAATTCCATGAGGACGCTCAGGTTTCGAATGAACGAGCTTGGCCCCCCGGGTGCGAGACCCGCGCTGTAGGCTCCGATAGCTTTGAACTTTCATCGCCAAGGGCTGTGTCAAAATTCACCCCTTGCGGTCCTCCAGGCATATCCTTGTGGGGAAGCTATTCTACGCTTTTTTCGAAGAGATATCCCAAAACATGAAGGATCTGGGGGTTCCGTGTTAAATTTAGCAGGTACCCAAAGCTGGTGGTTCCCATTTGTTATTTTTCTGTCAGAGGTGTCTAGAAACGGGCTGAGTTTGACACATTGCCACATGGCCAATCCGTTGGTCTCCCGCCCGGCCGGTGGGTGTGTGCTGCGCGCCAGCGCGCCGGTTTTACCACCGCAGGGGTCTCCTTTTTGCATGCCGCTGTGGGAAAAGACAGTCCATCCTAGGTATGGAACCATCTGGAAATACGGAGGTTTTTTAGACACCTGCAACTGCTCAGCCCGCTTCGTGGAACCAGACGGCCTCGCAAGGGGCACGGGCTCTTCATGCTCTTCAGTCTTAAGGAAGCCACCGGTCTCGTGAGCCGGGTGAAGGCTTCCTTTTTCGTTCGCATGCGCTGAAGGTGCGTGTGGTGCTTGTAATTCGCATCTGCGGGAAGCGATCCGGACTCGAGTGACTCGAACCGCTGGTCTCCAAGGGAGGATCTGAGGTCGGCTTCTGGGACGATTTCAGGTCGGGAAGTTCAGGCCAGAGTTCCAGCTGCGACTCCACATTTCACCCAGGGGGTGGGTGCCGTGAGAGGTCTCAATTCTTAGGCGAAGGGGTCCCGAAGGGACAGAGACCTAAGAAGAAAACTTCCTGCAACCCGTTGTCTCTAAACAATCTCAACGTGTCGTTTCCATGCGGACCTTTAAGAAAGCCTTGAAGAGACACCCACCCGAGCAGCGGACACTATTACTGGGGCATGTAGGTCTTGGGTAGGCCCCTATCAGTTTTGCAGGTTGGTGGTCAGTTTTGGGTGGTCCAATTCCCACCGGTTTTGGTATTCTTTTCCTGGGTACTCTCGTAGGGTTGTGTCAAATTTAGGGAACCCCAGCAAAGGTCGGTGCCCTTTTTTTTGCAGGTTCCCAAGAAAGGACCCATGTGGACCACTGATTGGTTCTCCGGCCCTCTCCCCCCTTTGTCCAGCACCGGGAGGGTACGAGGTCCTCGGACCGCCCCGGTGCCACATCCAGCGCAGCACCGCTGGGTGTGGCCGTACCTTAGCCAAAGAATGCGAGCAGTTTCCTCGGTACAGCCAAAGAACCGAGCAAGAAGAGAGGGAAGAGGCTCTTGGGAAGAGGCTTTGCGGGATCCGAGGTTTTTTGGGGAGCCCATGAGCTAAGAGACGACGTGGAGGTCAAAAGACCGTTTTGGTGTTGGAAAAGCTGGTTCTCTGGGAGCACGGGATTGCTTGGGCCAGGATTCAGGCTTGCTACCGGTTTAGCCCCTCATATCACAAGTAAACCAACCCAAGACCTACTTGCCCAAAGGGAATCCAGCGCGCCGCTTGACAGGCCGGCTGAAACTTGAGGTTGATATGATGGAGGGGTCCTTTCGGGATGCACCCGTTTAGCAGGTAAGGTTTAAGGCTTGGCGACGTAGCACATACGAAGCTCAGGCAAACTATGGCACCAACCAGAAGTGTCCTTTGAACAAAAGCCGTCCATTCGTCACAAGCCAGTTGTCAGAAAAGCTCAGTCAGAAAAGGAGAGAAGAAAGAAGCTCAGGCGAGCAAGTAGGGCGCCCCTGCCCCCGCAGATTTTGTTTGTGATACTTGCAGATATGAATGCCACCCCCAAATTCCGGGGAGGGGGCTTTGGTATCTTCAGAAGCAACACGGTGATGGCAAAAGATGCTACTCGCATGCGTTGCGGGGAGCCGAGGCAGACCATGTTGTTCTTTTTTTGCTTGCTTTATTTTTTTTTTTTTTATATTTTTTTGGGGGGGCAAGGCTTGTGACACCTGCCGGGTGAGCCGAAGGCAACCATACCATTGTTTGCGGAAAAGCGCAAGGTTCAGATCGGTCCGATTTGGAGCCCGCCCGAATTTCACGACGACGCATGGGCGATGGTCCCAATCCACCAGGTGTTACCGTCCCTGGTGTTTTTTTTTTTTTTTTTTTTATGCGGTATCTTTTAGGCATTTTGCCCGGCCTTTGAATTCAAACGCATGAAGCAAGCAGTGTATCGTTTCCACTGCCCTTCTTGGTTTCCTTAAGGGGACCAGGACCAGGAGTTGGTCCATTGCAGCACATGCTGCAACCAACTCTGGTCTCTTCCATGGCTGAGAGCTGGCGACGAATTGTTGGTTCCTAGAGATGAGATGAACATATGTGTGTCGTTTTTTTTTTGGAGGGAACCCTTTTGGAGTTGCTTACAAGGGGAAACAAGGGGGACCACACACACACACACACACAGTTTTTGGGTCCCCCACCTTGAGACACTTGAACAAAGACTGATATGAAATAGAATGTCGACATTGAATACTCCCTCCCAGCGTAGAGGAAAATTGTTCTTGGGCCCCCCCCAGCTTGCTTCAAGTTGGTGGTGGGAGGGTGCTGATTTCTGGCTGGCTTGGGGTCCCAATCCATGCTGTAGCCGGGTTTCCCCCACTCATTTGGCTCAGAGGTTCGATGCGTCCAAGTCGGAAGTGAAGGCGGTTCCCAGCTGTGGCAAGGCCGAAGAAAGGCGGATGCAGACAGTCTCCAGCGACCCGTTAACGCGACCCCAAGCCGGGTGCCCTCTGCAAAATGACACACCATGCTCAGCCTTGGTCTCTCCACTCTTGAGCCGCTGCAATATGATCCAGGAGACACATGAAATCGGATGGAACAACACGAACCGGCACAGTAGCGATGGTGAGGCTTCAATCATGCTTCCAGCTAGCATGGTAAGCAAAAAGGAGCAACAACAAGCAAACATCAGGAAAAAATCACCTAGAGGTAAGGTTCCTTGGTGACCCAGTTGTCTGGAAGCACTGAGCACGTCTCTCTCTCTCTCTCTCTCTCTCTCTCTCTCTCTCTCCCTGCCCGACCCACCGAGTGTGGGCAATTCAGGCGCCATGGCGGGAATGGCGGGCGTGCGCTTGCGGGGCCTGCAGGCGGGGGATTTGGCGTGTACCGAAGCAATCCTGCGAGGAGAGGCCCAGACCTGTGGTGCAATTCCTTTCCTCCTTTATGGAGGGGGGAGCGACGCCACACTCAGCGAGAGAGAGAGAGAGGGGTTGTGGGTGTACGGCGAGAGACACGTGGTAGGATGCCAGTGGGGGGGGGGGGACAGGACCACATTGGGACTGCCATTTCTTTTAAGGTGCTTTCGTTTTTGGGAGTTGTTTGTGGTCATTCTGCAGTTGTCGGGTGGCGCAAATCCCCATGTGAAGGGCCAAACGATCCGGTTACTTGGGCCCAAGTTTGGTCATCAAGCCGACTCGATTTGCAGACAAGGATCAGAGAGGTAAGGGGACTCAGGAAACCAAGAGGGTTGGTCCATGGGCAATGAATGAGGTTTTCGCTGCCAGCCCCCTGTCGCCCTTATCGAGCCAGTAGTCGCCAGAGGGTGTGTCCTAAAATAGGAACTTTCATCCTGTGTGGGTGTGTTTGTGTGTGCGTTTTTCTTGCAGTTCCCTTGACCTGCCTGTTCAGTGGGCAAGCTTTTAACTTTGTGTGGTTTTCTTCTCTTAAGGTTCAAACAGCTGGCAAACGTTTGTGGCCAGTCAACTCAGGTCAGCTTCAGACCTACCCAACAGGAGGTTGGACTTATTTGTAGGGACCCCCCGCAACGGGACCACCTGTCGCAGACAACTCGCGAGGCGACTCACTTGAACGGCATGCACGGGGTTGCAAGCTGAGAGATGGAGAATTCGTCATTTGGAGCAAAACCTCTCCTTGGAATCATCCAAGTGGTTGCAATTCCATTTGTTCTGGCCCGCAAAGTTCCTACGCATTTGTGAGGTGGACTTGGGGTGATGATTTTGCTTGCTTCCGGGGCCCTGATTTTGCCAGGGTCCTGTGCATTTTTTTGTTTTTGAAGGGGCTCCACCACTCTCCACACAGAAATGTCATTAGGGCAGCGTGATTGAAGGTTGTGCTGTTTTGCGAACGAGCTCACATTTGCTACAGAAAGCAAGCCCATAAACCCACAAATCCGTGCAGTCAAACTGTTTTCCAGAGCAGGCAAACATGCAAAAATGGCAGTCAGCCAAGTGACCGCTTTGCGCTTCCATCCTTGGCAGGGAACCACTTGGAGACTGGGGGGGCGGGCAGTGCTGGTCCCAAGCCGGTCCAAACTTTTGGAGGGCTTGCCATACACCTGGACGTCAAGGGGTGAGCAATCAGAACGCCGAGTGCTGAGGTCTGCAAGGGCTACGATGAGGACCAGGGCTATGGGAATCGAGGGATGCCGTGTTCGCCCACTGCCAGTTGTTCAGTGGATTTCACCCTCAAATGAGTTGGTTTCTGTTGAGCCAAAAAAGAGCTTCTTGTAAAAACAAGAGACCCCAAAAAATGGCATCGGCCCGGGCTCGACAACTCGTTTTCTACCTGCAGATCGAAGTTCAGGGCCACCTGAGGTGCCGAAACCCACGTGATCCAGTTACTCCCCTATGGGGACTCGAACAGCAACCAGGCGAACTACGATCTTACAAAGTAACGGGAAAGACAACTCATTCCCACTTTGCTCTCGCAGAAAGAGTTGCCCTCCTACGGCCAGGCCGCAGATACGCTGTGAATCAACTTGGAGCACATCCCGTTTACCCTTTTGAACATTTTGTTTTTCGCATTTGCTTCCATGTTCATCATGCATGGAGGTGCTATTGTGGACGGACAAAATCCACCAAACTTCACAGTTGGGATTTGTGGTTTATCAACCAGTATTCAAATCGGGCTTCATCCATCTCAACTAGTGCGCACACCAGTGAGTTTTCAGGGGACTTTCCCCTTTGGTGGCTTTTGAAGGGAAACCCAAAAACCTGTGGGAGTTGCCCGTTCAAATCTCAATGTCCCAAAATGCTGGGACTGCCGGCAATTCTCACAGGACAAGGGCAGATGGGAGGTGATCTTGGAGAACGGCCCGGGCCCCGGCCGCGGGGATGTGGACACCCCGTGGAGGGCGCGGACTCGCGGATTCTTGGCTTACAGTTAGTTAACGGGGGGGGGGGGTAGAAAAGTGGGCTTGAACATTTGATTTGAAATAGGGTTAGCAGAACCCAGCAGTGGAATTATGTAGCATTGTTTGACACGGTTGACAGGCTTTAGCAGGACTTGAACCGTGAGCTGATGCTTTGCTCCTCGTTTGTTTTGTTTTTTGTTGTTTTGTTTTGCGCGCATTTTAGCTTTGTTGTGACAGTTGAATTGAGTTTCCCGTGGGTGGGGTGATGTGTGAAGAGGGCACATGTGTGTGTGTGTGTGTGTGCCTGTGTACATGTACGTGTATGTGTAAATATATATGGACATGTACCCATTTGCAGGCCCCCCACAAAGCCTTTGACGAGACTTTGCAGCTAGCTAGGAACTTTGGAGCCATGTCATCTCCATCCCTTTGCCAGACCGCGCACATCCATGGCATCTGCACAATGCACATTAAAGCGCATGAACGCATTTTGGGATCTAAGATGGACGGCTTTAGATTGCCTTGCGCTGACAAAACAGCTTGATGGAATGTTGGCAATACCTTTCTCAGCACCCCTTCCCGGTTGTCAATGAGGGAGGGCTCCCTTGCTGAGTTGGCTTTCCTTTCCGGGGACCTCTGTTTCAGAACTGGATTGAAGATGCCACCCCTGGTCTAACCACCACCTCCTCTTTCCAACGGAAGACCCCTGCGGCCCCAAATTGGGGTCTCATATTTTTTTTTATTTTTATTTTAGAAAAAATATTAAGGGGCCCTTTTTTGTGGGCGTTGGAAGGGGTTAGGGGAGCGGGGTTGGTCAGTTTCTCACTCATCTCTTTGGGATGGGGTCACTTGCATCCAAAGCGAATTGACCGGATCTGACCTTTTGGTTTCCCTGATGTTTTTTTGGTTGGTCAAGGTTCCTCAAACGGTCAACTTGTTTGTTGCCTGGGTTCCTAAGGGGCAACCGAAGCCAAAAGTTCAGAGTGAATGGCAACTTCAAGGGTGCTCCTTTGCACGTTCGGAGAAGATGATCAGACCAGGGTGGGTGTGTCCTTTTTTGAGGGCACCATTTGTGGATGGGTTTAAGGGAAAACCCCAAAAAAGCCAACCAGTTTTTTTTTTTGCGGGTGGTGTTCTCTATTTTTGAGACAAAGAGGCTAGTTGGTCAGGTTCCGTTGGTTTCCCTCGGGCCAACGAGCACCTGCGAGAGACCTTACAGATTTGCCACCTCTTCGGGCTAAGCTTCTTTTCCAGCTTCCATTCTTCTTTCTCGAAACCATCTCCAGGCATTTTTTCAGGAAATTGGCCCAAACCAATTGGTTTTGTGGGTGTCTGGGGTCGAACCTTGATTCATCCCTGGTTTTGTGGACGAATCTGGTCTCAAAATGGAGGGTTGCAACCAAGAACAGGAGCCCCCTCCGCGGTTACGCCTTCCTTCAGGAAACAAACCCAGACCGAGTGGTGCCCTTTTTCCCTTTGGTTTGAAGAGGGTGGGCCTTTATAAACCACTAAGAAAAACGAGTGCCCCGGTGGGGGTGTGGGCGAACGCGGGATGCCGAGACAAAGTGGACGCTCGCATGGCCTGCTCGGGCCGGATCGCGTTTGCGGAAATGGATGACTGTTTCCCCGGGAGATCCAGCTGATCGCAAAGGGTCGCAAATACCGGAGGGGTCCAATCACCAGCCACGGAAATCCCAACATTTCTGCTTTTTGGTGGTTTGCAACCTCACCTTTTGGCCCAATGCACGTAGTGAGTTTCCTTTGCCGGGGGCGTTTGAAGGGGGAAACGTAGGGAAACCCTTGCCCGTGCAGCTCGCCTGCGAGGCGAGTCCAAGGCGATCAAGAACGACAACCTGCTCCAGGTCCGCAGATGCGCGCGCTGGAAGCCCTTGCTTTTGGAGAACGCAAGGGTTCCATGTTTTGAGCACCCATAGTGACGAATCCCCACTGAAAGGGAACACCCCTCTATGAATCAACCAGGGATTTAACTAAATTTGGGGTTCCCAGACCCATTTACCTCAGAACAAACGAGCGACTGCCACCCCTTCACGCTTGACTGAAATCCAGGGTTTGCCCTTGTGTGGGAATCAACCGCCCCTGGGTTTATATAAGTGGCTGTTGTTTCTATTTTGTGTTTCAGACGTGTGATTTTCCTAAAATTGGTTGACCCCTCTGGACATATTCGTTTTGGTTGCCATGTAATTAAACAGACCTGAAAAGATGACCGAGCCTCAAACACAGACCCAGTGGATTGAACCTTGATTTCTACGCTACCCCAACCACCGCCAGGGGTATAATGAGATATACAGCCACCAGCCACTAATAACGGTTTCCCCTCAGTGTGGTTTGAGGGCACAGGGTTCCCTATATTTCCCCCTTTGGGTTGGTTTCAACATCACCTTTGCCATGTTTTTTTGGTGAGTTTTCTTTTGGGGTGATGTTCCTTCTGGGGGAAATCAATCAGGAGATCACGGTGATTCGCATCCGGCTGGCAGGTGTTGGAGCCCGGCACTGACATCCAACTGCAGGGCGGACAGGCGGGATGAAATCGTGAGCCTCAAAATGATGTTTGTACTTTAGTGAATGTTAGGGCCTTGGGATTCGTGCATCCTGTGTTTTGGGGTTAAGTACGAAACATCTGAAGACTTTGTGGCGTCCTTCAAAACAATATTTGCATGTTGAGGAATGTTCGGGCATGGAGACTTGTTTTTGTACTTTGGGGTTAAATACGACACATCTGTAGATTTTGGGGTGCGTGCCGTGTCCTTCAAAACGATGTTTGTATTTCAGCGATATCAGGGCCTTGAGAGTTTGGGGATCATGTATTTTGGGTTAAATATGAAACACTTGAACAGACGCTGTTTTGGGGTGTCCTTCAAGACAGTGTTTTGCGGTTAAACATGAACATATGATTTTCGGTATAGCCCAAATATGGGCCCCCAGGATTGGTTCTGACTGACTTGCTGTAAACGGACTTGGCCCCTCAAGACTTTGTGGCTTCTTTTGAAGACTAAGAGCCGCCAACTCGGGATTTAGATCCACCAACCACTTTTAATTGGGCTGCTTGTTGAATTACCTGGCCTCTGGGGTCGGGGGGGAGGGGGCGGGGGTAGGTTTTGGGTTTCTCCAATTGGGTTCTTTTGCCGATTTCCGGCACGAAAGTTGGAAAACCCAATCTGGAAGGGGGTTGGGCTGGTAAACCAAACGGTGAGTTTTCCGACTGCGCCAAGGCGACTGGGGTTGCACGGATTTGCTTTTAGGGAGCCTGTTTTGGAAAGGTGCTGGTATAATACCCAGGTTGGACAGCAAGAGCCTGTTTGGCGGTTGAAAGAGGGCCTCTGCTTTCGTGCCCCTGCATTTTGTTTGTTGCCCCCCTGGATGGATCAGCACCGCCGATTCATCAACCCAATCTGAGAGCGGCAGGAAGCAGCAGCACACACATTACCATTCAGGAAAGTGAGAAGAACAGCGCTTCTGTGAAGATATGTCAAGAACCAAGCGGATGACCCATCGAGACCGTTTTGGTGCGTGGATATATTGATGAACAACTGACTGAGTTCTTGGGCTCGGAAGAGCTTCAGGCGTCTGATGGGCTTGAGAGAAGAGGTTATGGGTTGGCTGTACGACCCTGCCATCCTCCTGGAAGATTCAGCTTTTTGAATGGACATGGTGGATTCCATGTCAGTGGCAGGTTACCGAGTAGGAGGTAACCAAAGAACTGAGTGACCTGGCGCCCTCTTCCTTTCTTTTAAGATGTTTTCCCGAAAGATCAACTACCAACAAATTGTGCCCTTTCGAGTGACCCTAAATGGGTTCTAAAAGATTGGTGCCTTTCGGATACACACATGATTGCCCTTTGGTGCAGGCGATCTTAACCTGTTCAATCGGCCCCGTGACTTTTCCTCATGGCTACAAGGTCTGGGCTGAAATCGGAGCCATCCACGCTGATGGCAGGTGCTGCATGTGACCATCGGCAGAGTGAGTGTGCCTCCCCTAGAGCTGACGAGCAACGTCTCGCCTCAGGCTTTGGTGTTTAGGGCTTAGTTAGGGTTTGTCACAAATCAGGAGCTACATGCTTACCAATAGTTTACTCCTAAAATCATGACTAAGAATGGCTTCAAACTGCTCCACCACTGCGACAATGTGGGACATGGGCGTGTCTTTTGGTTGGTATATGCCCTTTGTGGATCATGGTGGGATTGTAATGGCCCAAAGGGACACCCATTTTCATACATAATTGGCCAAATTTCCGGGGATCACCGCAAATGCCTGGCTCCCTTGATATAGCTTTCGCCCACGGGTTTCAAACGTTTACTCAGATGCCCATCATGTATCTTTCTCCGCAAGACTTTGCTGCCCCTTAGTGCTTTGTCTGGTCGCGGCATGTGGAGCGGTTTGCGACTCGCTAGCCTTTGAACGGATTCTGAGACGTTTGCCACCTCGTCATATTTGCTGGCTTTTCTAGGCTAACTTCGAAATCTCTTGCCTTTCATGGTGAAGGCCCGCGTTCACCTGTTGAGGATCACGACCACCTTGGGAGCCAGTTTCGACATTTGGTGACACAAAAGCAAGCAGTATGTAACAATGTAAGCTCTGGGCGAATTATAGCGACTTTCGCAGGACTTGGCGAGCCCTGAGTGTCGCTTCCGTGGGCGGTCCAGTTTTGTCCTCACCCGACACTGGGCAAACACAAGGCGCGTGAAACCGCAAGAAGTGTGTCTCCCCATCTCCCCCAAAGGGGTCTGGGCTCCAGGTCCGGTATCCTTAGATTCCCAATTGAGCTCCCCTGGGGGATGGGAGCCGATGATCGGTTGCCCCCGCGGCGGAGGTGTGTCTGAAAATAGGGGACACCAACAAATGGTGGATGTCCATTTGATTTGCCCTGAAAGCGCAAAACCCTGTTAATTCTGGGAATGACAAATCGTGCAAGAGCACAGGCCACCCGCGAAGTGACTGGGGCCACTAGAACGGGCCTGTAGGTCGGGAGAAGTTACCGACATTAGCATGGACCAGAATGTGCAAGCCCCAGAAAAACAAGAGCGAAGAGACCTCAACGCAAGATTTGCACCTGGCTCAGCGCAACGTTGCGCGAATTGTGAGCAAGCACCCCACCCTTGAAGCCTTCGATGAACTTGCAGCTTTGTGTTGTGGTCCGCGGAAGTGGGTAGTGCCTGCAGACCGGCCTGTGCTTGCGACCACAGAGCTGAAACCCTTTTTGGTGGATTCCGCAAGCTTGGAGGATTTGCCGCCGACACTCCATGTGTCAAAAGTGGCCTTTGTTTTTCTCAGCTTGGTGGGAAGGGACAGCAAAATGAAACACAAGACTTCTTCCCCCCTCCCATTTTGCACAGACCCATATTCTAGGGGTTGATTCTACTCATTTGGACCAATTTTGAACTGGGTTTCCTCTGAATTTTGTTGAGGGTCGGTTGAAGAGAACATGTAAGCAACCCTGTTACATTGGTAGTGGCTATGGGCATTTGTTTATTTGCGGAAGTCCGAACTTGTTGTGTCAGGTGCTGAATTCCATGGAGCAGGAGGATAAGGACGCTCTCTTCCAGGACATAGACCAGCGCCTTGGCACCTCAAAGATAGGAAACCGCCCCAAACCAGAGAGAGAGAGAGAGACAGAGAGACGGAGAGATAGAGGAAGAGATAGAGGTAGATAATGAGGCAGAGAAAAGGACAATAACACAAAGAGAAAGAGACATATAAAGATGAGAGAGAGAGAGAGAACAAGAAAGAGGAAGAGAAAGAGAAAGCGAGCGCGAAGAAAGAGAACGTTAGAGAGATAGAGATAGAGAGACCGAGAAAGAAAAGGAGAAAAGAAGCGTGCTCCAAGCTAGAATTCTTATATGTTTTGATGCTTCCTCCCCCCAGCTCTGCCGGCTTGTACTGCTATATTCTATCTATGAGTAACATATACTTGAGCCACCCAAAAAGGGAAAGGCGGGAACTGACCTCATGTGGCTTCAGGTTTTTGAGGCCGCCGCCCTCTGAGGTTCTGCATGACTCACGAGGTCCGGACGGAGCTGAACTGCCCGGACGGCTGGCGCGGACCGCTCAGGATCCAGAATTTCACCTGGGCCAACTTACGTGGCCTTTTGTGGTGGATTGGTTTAAAGGGAAACTTTATGGTTGATTGATGCCTTTGAGTTGGTAAGCTTGTCAGGCACCTTGAGATGTTTGGGGCCTCCTTGCGTCCTGGGCATTGGAAGCGGGCTTGTTTTCAGCGGGCAGGGACACCTTTAGAAGTGGATGGCAGCCTCCCGCATTTAGGCTTTATCAACCTAAAGGGAGTTGTGCCGACTTTCACGGTGTAACCCTTCCGGACAGTTTAGTCCAACCCGATTAATTTGCCTGGCAGATCCATTGAGGCTTGAAGATTTCCCTCCAAGTGGGACACCCCGCATTCTAGTAGGCCTGGGTTTCCAGTACACCCAGAGGGCCTGCAACCCCGATTCAGTAGATTTGATGGATACGTTTATGGGGTATGGACCGCTTGAGGAGTACAATCCGGATGAATCGGAAGTTGAGCCCGAACCAGCACCCACTTCGCCTGCAAATTACTGGAAGGGACCCAACACGCAGAGATTTGATTTCGACCTTCGGGCAGCTCAAATTGCGTCTCTTCAACCGAGGATCCGATATGGGAATGAATTCACGAAAGCTCCGATCAAACCAAGGGGATTTGCCAAACTTGAACAATTAAGCTGACATTTTGGTGTTGGAACATGGGAAGATGTTTGAAGATGTCGCTTTGGCCGGCCCCGCTTAGATGGCCTCAGGGATAACTACATGCTTAGTAGCCAAAAGGATTTGCAGAGTTAGCTGAGGTGGGGGGACCATTCATTGAATTGGGTTGCTCCTTACCCTCCAGTGGCAGCTGTGGGGGATGCCTGGAAGATTGGTTCCCTCTTGAAGGGGACTAGTGTCAGGTGCTTTGCTAGTGTGAGGGAGGATAGTCCGTAGCCAGATGGAAAAAGTGGTTTCCCTTGCAAAGGCGCCCCACGGATGATCGGGATCCGGGACCCCATGTTGAACAACCCAGGCTTACGTTAGACTGTGGGGAACATCTCGTTTTTGACACTCGCATGGGCAAAATCCTGCACCAGTGGGGATGGGTGAAGCCCTACAGATACTGGCTAGCGTGTTATTTTTGTCAATCCACCATACTTCTGCACATAGGATATTTTGGTGGTGCAGGGTCGGGCCAGCCTCCCTGATTCCAGCATATCTTGTTTAAACAGCCTCCTTCTGGTTTCCCTAGTGAAAGTCTGGCTGTTTGCCGAATTCCGCCCCTTCAAGCCTGGGAATCCATTCGGCTCGGGTCTCCGTCCGGCGAACGCCCAGGCCCCAGTTCAGCGTGGTGCTCACCGGGGACCCAGCCGGCGCCGGAGCCCCATGAATCGGTACCTGGGCCATGGCGCCTGGCGTCCAAGCGCCTGCATTTGGGTCTGCCCTATATCTTCTTTTGTTTTGTAGCCGGGTACCCCCCCAGCCCCCAAAAAATTGCTGGTCTTTTCAAACCAGACGAAAAGACACGCAAACGGGTGGGAAAAAGGAGACGCCAATTGCCAATTTGGGTCTGTGAAATTTTTGAGGATGCCCCCTTTTGTAGGGTTAGTTCCAAGGGAAGCCTAAAGGAAAACCAACATTTTTAGGTTTCCGCGATTTTGACATACCATTTTGAGGGGGTTTGACATCGATGGACCCTCAGGTTAGAACCTGGCGGATTTTCTGTAAATGTGCCCCCAAGCGAGGGATGCCCTCACAAATGGAATACCCTCCTATGAATCAACATTGCGTGTCTTTCAGTGTTCCGAGCAGTTCCAGCGCAAAAAGGTCAACTCCACGGTTTCCATTGGCTCCTTGGGCCAAAGTTCGAACAAATCGGATGGGCACTGCTCAACTGGAAGGTGCCCGGGTACCTTCAGTGCGTGGGCACACCCGTTTAGAGGAAGTTTTTACGCGCGTAAAGGGCAGAGCGTATGTTGCCAGATCGTTTTTCACGGATCACCCTGAACTGCTGAAAAGGATGTTTCACTTTGGTTTCCTTCACGAATTCACCCCTCATACCCATCCGCTAGCTGATTTCGATTTGGCGTCGAAGCTTCAGTTCAATGCGAAGGTAGCCCCAAGGCACCCGAGGCCCCAAGTCTCAAGGAGTCTTTCTGGGACACGTCAGGGAAGCCCCAAAACCAATTGCCCGGCAACCTGGCTTTAGGGGGCCCCTCTTTCTTGGATTCTTTTTTGACTCCCCATGCTCATGTGCAGATTGACATGAACCCCAGGACCCCGTGTCATAGAAAAGAAGATTCCCCCAAAAGGGCCTTCCATGCTCAGCCGGGGGATCAGATGGAAGGCAGACAAATGAGGACTCTGGCATGAACCTTGATTTTGGGGTACTCCTTGTCACCTTTGGAGGTTCCCGAAAAGGAGACTTCCCGAAAATGTGGGTGTCTCATCTCATAAGGTTACCTTTTTTTTGTTGTGTCTCCAGCAACCAGAAGGGAAACCACGTTGGGGTTTTCCCTTTGTGGAGACCAGGCCACATCTTTCGAGTTTTTCCAGTTCCAGGGAGACCACCTCCCCCCCCCCCCCCCCGCAAAACGGCGCAGGTGGCCGCGGCGCGCCAGGCGCTGCCGGCGATGCGCGCCGCCCGGTAATCTCTCGGAGCGCATATGCGTATCGCTTCCCCCCCCCCCTTTCCGGGGCGCTTGGAGCTGAGGGATTTCTAGTGCTACCTTCCCCGTTCTTTCCAGAAAACCTCCGGTTTTTCAAAAAAAGATGGTTGCAAAGAATGGGCAATCAACCCTTAGAGGATTGGTTGGCTTCGTCGACGGGTGCAGTTGGCTTCGCCGTGGCATCCAGGAGTCACAGGAAGCTTTAGCCGAGCAGGTGAATTCCAAAAAGCAAAGCCGGCTGCCGGGTCCAAATGGGGCCAGATGTTTGAGAATGTTTATGTTGACCCCGGATACATCACCGCCTGTTTGCTTACTAGGTGGGGTGTTTCCCTCCAAAAGTGATGACCCCCACCAAAAAGGGAGCCCCTATAAATCAACCAGGGGCTTATTACTCCGGGATTCAAACAACAATCTTTGGACTTGGTTTTGCCAATCCAGTCAGGAAGTCAGCCTTTGCCCTGTTTGTCTCTCGGTTAGACGCATTTGTTGGCATTCCCAACTGCGGTTGACATGACTGCGCACGCCGCCCCCCGCCCGACCATTCCTCTTACTGGGTATTTCCCGCAAGAACGGTTTCCCCCTGTTCGAGTTCTATATATGTGCCTTGGTCAAAAGACCTGCTTGGGGGTTACAAAGGATGGTCATGTACGGCGGTCTCTTGAAGGGTTTTTTAGACAATGTTGAGGGTTCCTCTTAAGGAGATCATGACCAGCTTACTTGGGGCTGCTAAGGATGGCCACGTGCCACTCAACCGCCTTTGAGGGTGTTTGTGTGTGTGTGTGTGTGCGTGTGTGTGTGTGTGTGTGTGTGTGTGTGTGTGTGTGTGTGTGTGTGTGTGTGTGTGTGTGTGTGTGTGTGTGTGTGTGTGTTTCTTCGCGGATGCCCTTCCATCTTGGACTAAAAGGAGGACAAGAAGAAAGCTGAACTCTATTGTGGGTCCCTGCCCCTAAACACACGCCCAAATCCACTCGGGTGTGCCTGTTTTTGAGGGGAACCCCCCTTGGTTGCTTTAAACGGAGGCCAAAAGGAAACCACACATTTTTTGGGTGCCCCAATTGAAAAAAACAAAAACACACCCATTTGGAATCAAAGGGGACCATCCATTTGCTCAAGGACCAGCTCCCAGTTTCAAAGGGAAATCGCCACTTAGCAAGGCTTCCCAACAAAATCCGTGCCGGGCCAGCGGCTGAGGCTGAAGGCGCATAGTGCGGGGCCCAGGTCTGATAGGTTTGATTTAAAAGGGCACAGGTTGACTTTTTGTTTGGGCTGATGGATTTTTGTTGACGAGTGCCATTTTTCAGGATAGTAGGAACCAAACAGTTGTTTGGCAAGTATCTGGTTTTCCATCCCCAGCCCCTTATGGAATTTGGAGGCTGACCATGGCATTCATGGTTCTTTTCTTTTGTGGGGAAGATTAGATTGGGAAACTCCCGCATCCGTCCTCCTTCCGGCAGGGGGATGGTTCTTTTTATGACAATTGTCAGAGGCGAATGCCGTGCCACTCCTTCGGAAGAACCAACTCGAGGAAGATCCCGCCGGTTCCCTTGAGATCCATTCAGCCCTAAAAAGATACCCAACAACGCGACAAGGGATGGCATTCTCCCCGGAGCTGTCAAAGAGGGTGCCCCAACCCAGCTCAAGTGCTGATATGCTATACATAATATACATATATATATATATATATATGTGAAGGTCAATTAAATGCCCCCCCCCCCCCCTCGTTTTTGGGGGAAACGCGGTCCAGATTTGGGTTGGACCCCCTTTGCCCCCCACAAAAGCTCCAAACCTCGAAGCTCAGGGCCGCGGCGTTGGTGTCGAAGGGGCGTTGGCCGAGGTCTGGACATTCCAGGCCCCAAGGTCAAGGCGCCCGACAAGAAGGAGGCGAAGGAGGCGAGCGAGGCGAGGGCCGAAACAACTCCGAGGACCGCCTCGCAGCGACCAGGGGTTTCACGAGGTGAGGGTAGTGTTTATTGGGTGGGTGTTGAGTTAGGTGGTTGTGGAATGTTCTGATGATATATGCAGAAGGCATCTTGAAAGAAGCTTAGCTGACCGCTTGCGCTTTTAACTAGCAGTCATGTCGCTTGATTGGACACACCCGGTCTGAGACCCTGAATTGACTGTGGCATTTTTCGGGGTCATGTTTTCTTGCAGAACAAGTGATATGCGTAGGTCATTGACTGAAGACAACACCCAAGCCCATAGTCAATGGGCAAGGAAGACACCAAAAAGCGAAACCAGTTTCGCCAACTTGATGGCACGCTGGCCTTATTGCCTGACATGGGTCACATGGCTGGGCAAAGTTACTGACGCACGTGAGCGCTTGGGTGAGGGCATAGACTGGAAAGCCGCAAGTTCGCATGCCCGTGGCAGCGTGGGTCCATTCGGCTAAGGGGTGGAAGGAGGGCGTGGAGATGGCGGTCTTGGCGCAAATTTTCCGCTTTGAGTGCGGGCGGCGTCACGGAGTTGGGCCCTGAATCCTGTTCTGACCGCGGACTTTTTGACAGGCGGTCCAATATGGGCCTCACAGGGGCGGCTTCCAAGAACACAAAAAAAGCGTCGGGCATGATTGTTCATGCATGCCCATGCTTGCTTAAGCGTGATTATGCTTGGCCTATGCCTTCCAATGCTTGTCCGAGCTTGCCCATGCTTGTTTAAGCATCCGCACATACCGGAATGTTGTTTCCCTGCCCTTCTGTGCGCAGGGACAGTCGCCGGAGGCTGAAGACGAGAAGGCGTGGATTGCTTTCTGCCAAGCAATACTTTAAAGGCTTTGGAGTGTGAAAATTCGACCGCGAATGGCCCAGCAACAACTTGCAGGATTCTAGGGGGAAAGGGTTGTGTTTCCTGAGAAGGCCCAAGAAGCACAACTTTTGCCCTGGTAGTGCAATCGCGGACATATCCTCCCATGATCATGAGACAACTGTCTCAATGAATAGAGCTCCACAACCCCATTATAATTATATAGTTTTATTAGAGGACCTTTGTGGAGGGTGTTCAAAAGGGAGGAGGCGGAGGAGAACAAGAATCAGCATTCATCAAAGAAGAGTAGAACATATGATCATTTCAACTCATTGAACAACGCAACTACATAAGAGGGAAAAACCAAGGTGGCACACATAGGCACATAGGACAACTCACTACTGTATCATGAAGACTAGTACTCTCCTGCAGATGAGCATGGCATGCAACACACCTATCCAGCTTCACGAACGGAGTCTCCTTTTGAGTTGAGACGGACCTTCCATATTTGGGGCACAGGAAGCTTTCAAAAGACTAGCTGACTCAAACCGTGGTAAGGATTGAGAACCCCCTGGTTGATTTTATCGTGCACTTTGGGGGGGGGGGGCGTGTGTTTCCCTTTTTGGCGGGGGCCCCCTTAGGTTGCACGTGAATTTGCAAGGGGGCCCAAAAGAATGCGGCCCACCTATTTCCTGTTGAAATCTCCGATGTGCTAGCTGCTACTAGTAGGGAACCTGATTGAAACTCACTGGGGCTGGACAGAATTCTGCACTTGGTAGGTGGTTTATGCCAGGATTTCCTGGTTTTCATCCATTTAACCCGGACGAAGCGGATGCCGCGAGGGAAGCCCCCGGACTGCCAGGCACGCCTCGCAGTTAGCTTGTTTCTTTTGGTCAGAGTTCTTTTTTGTTTGTGGGGGGGGAAGCTGAGGTAAGGTGGTTCTGACAGGCTAGATGTTTAGGCAATAACCCCGATCAACCCAGGTAGAGCCACCTAATCCAAGGTGCTAAACAATCGCTATAATGGTATTGCCCTAGAATCATGGGATCGCAGGTGGAGACCGTGGAGGTCGAGGGCCTCGTGATGAAGTCCATGGAGAGGCCCATAGCTGTCGGACCCATCAGATCCCGGGCTTCATGGGCACGTCTTGTTGCTGGAGGGTCGCCTATGTTTGTGGTGTTAAAGGGAAGCCAAAAGGAAGACCGAAGCATTTTGGGGGGGTCCCATAGAAAAACGAGTAGCCATCTGAAGACCATCCCTGGCTTCATAATCTTGATGCCGGATCTAAGTAGAACCCGTGCTGCACCGCCACTAGTTTAGAGGACACCCCCGATCAAACTCAACCATGGGTTTATGAGTCCGGGGTCAACCGTACTGTGGATGGACAAAATTCACTTCGCGCCAGTTGGTAGGTGGTTGATCTCAGTATTCACAGGGTTTCATCCCTGCCAACTACTGCAGGGTTTCGTCCATCCACAGTAGGGGATCCCTACCTCCAGTGTGCGTTCTTCTCCTGGACACTGGAGGTCTGGTCAAAAGAACCAACCAGCCCTTTGGGGTTCCCTCAAAAAGAAAACAGTCACTTGCTGTTTGGGTTTGCCTCTAAATGGGATACGCCTCCTCCCGCGAGATGGGCATGTGTTCCCTGTAGTGTGGCTTTAGAGCAACCCACCAACACAGAAGACAACCCATACTTACCCTCACATGCGGGCGATGGATGAAACACTCTGAATTCTGGGATGAATCTCTGCCAACTGGTGCGAAGTGGACGGTGTCCATCAGTGTGGGGTTAGTCCCAAAGATATGAGCAAGATAGCGGGACCCGGCAAAGGGATGGCTTGTCTTTTGGTTTCTCTTCAATCCAATCCCAAAAAAAGCGAACCCCAAAAAACATCCCCTCAGCTCGGTGTTGCGCGTTGGGCCAGGAGAGAAAGGCCCAGCCGAAAACGCTGATGGGGCCCCGCCGCTTTCAAGCGCCGACCTGAAAAGAAGTGCGCCCGGGGCTCACTCGGCTTGTTCGGGCATTTGGACCTTCCCGCAAAACAGCAAACGTGCAAGCCTCTTTCGGGGGGGGGGGACGGCCACACTCGAAACTGAATGTCCATCAATTCACTGGCCGGAGGGCCAACCTGGGCCCATAAGCCACATGAGCGCCCAAAAAACCCATCGCTATGGTGGTTGATAGTATTCCCTACAATACACCGTTATAACCATGCTTGTAGAGCCACACATCAATGGGTTCTGGTCGCTGTTCGCATGAATCCGAAGAGGGACGCTGAAGTTCCCGGGGTCGACAGCCGTCGCCAACCCGTGGTGACCTTGACAGTGCCGAAGGAACAGACGGAACAACACATGCTGCCGTTGTCTTGCGGTTTCCACTCCCGCCTTTGGCCGAAGGCCGGCTGGAAACGTCTTCGCAAAATGCGGACGCTACAAACTTTTCTTGAGGCCGCTCAACTTGTCTTGGAAAGAGCGCAATTGTCAAAGTTATGCGTGAAGGCTTTAGTTTGTGCCAACCCTTATATTTGGGATTGGCGATCCTCATCCTGTCCAAGCAGATCATGATCCCCGCAGCCGGGGCTTTGAGGCTTTGATGGGCGACTTCAATTCTCATGTGTGCTACTGGCACTCATCCATTGCAAAGCTGCAGCTACGCTGAGTATCTACAGATACCAACATTGTCAAAGATGCTACTCGATGCTAGATCGTTCGACCGCCACGTGTTAGCTACAACATCATGCCGAGCTGCGTTGCCAATCCGTTTCAATCCAGACTTTGGTCGGAATAACGAGATGAGCATAGTTGGGCGTATGCGCCCGGAGGGCCACAACCTATGCTCTAGTTTTGCCAACCCTTGCCACCTATAAGATCATTACTGCGCATCATCGCCCATTTAGGAACGTGAGCACATGTTATTGCCGAACGCTCATGCGGTTTCATGTCACAGGCACCAATGGCAAACACGAACCGCCCTTGTTGGCAGCAAGGTTCCTGCAAAGGGTGGGTTCGCTGCGGCTCCCTTGAAACCGGCCACAAAACGCGTCCGCCGCAGCGTCGCTCACTGCGGCCGGGTGGGTGGGGGGCCGGCTGGCACAGATGGCGGAGGCGTGGTCAGGGCCAAGCGTAGCAGGGAAAGTAGATCCCAGGCCCCATAGGAAACCAGCCATGTTCCACCAGCAGTTTTGCAGGGCGGTTCCCTTGGGCGCCTATACGGAAAAATGGATCTGAAACCATGCTTGGATTGGAACCTGTGGTTCTTGCAAATGGGAAGCCATCCTGGAACGCATCCAACCCGCAAATCCAAACCGCTCCAGGGTAAGGTGAATACAGGGCTCCCGTCTAGAGGTCCCTCAGAGTATGGCCCAAAGGCCTGTGGAGGATTCTGAGGACCCTTCTTTGTGACAACCAAACTTGGGACACCCTGCAAAGTAGGCTTCTGTCCAGTTGCTTGGCTCTTTGGACCAACCAATTTAGTGGATGGCCAACGGGCAATCCTTTAGGGGCCATACAGAGACCAGATCAGGCATTTTGTCATTCGCGTATCTCGCAAAGGAACTCTGCAGGCTGCTGAATTTCATTTACGGGAGTTTCTAGGTCGAAAGCCAAACATGGAGGCCCTGCAACTGCCCACCCACATATGTGTCAAGGTCGGGACAGATATTGCACACGGTAGTACACTGGGAAGCCAGGAAGTCACGGCAAGTTCTATCGACGTTACAAAGAGGGGGCCTTCTGGTGTTACTCACAAGGGTGTTTTTGAAGATAGGAATCCCCTAGAATGGTTGATGTCCTGCTGACAAAGGGGCCACCATGCCATTTTGAGAAAAAATCCCGAAAAGGTTCTCTTTGCGGGGATCCCTCGAATTTCGCGGCTGGTGAATCATTTTGTAGTTTGCTCAGATTTGGGTGGCCGCCAAGGGAACCAGCGCGGTCTGTTTCCTTTCTGCCTGTTCTTTTCGAGCCACCAAAACGAGCGCCAAAAAGCAACACACCCAAGCATGGTTCTCCTAAATAGGGCAACCCCCAACATAAGCTTCGCCTTCCCTTGGCATTCCCTGCTGAATCACCTCAAAAACAACACCAGGCGTCAAAACACGACACTCTATTTGTTTGAACTGGGGCCGCTCGCCTTCAAAGGAAAACCCAAAGTGTTGAACAACAGTGGTTTAATTAATTCAATTGTCCAAGGCCGACCTTTCAATCTTTTGGTCCTTTGGCGTTCAATGTTTGGCCCATTTTCACTCAAGGTCCCAAAAGGTGATCACCTTTGATTCCCAGTTCTAACTGGGCAGGGACACAACAACTGTTTGAAACCGCCTCCTGTTGGTTTCCTGCCTCCTATAAAGGCCGAAATGACTATCACTAGTTGACTCCTATAGTCACGACTAGTTTTAGTTTAAATGCACCCCAAAAAGCCCAAGTCTGGTCATCCAATGTAGAATGTTGCATCATTCAATTTGGTTTAGAATCACACCCCACAATAACAGGACCAACCCCTATTCTCTTAGCGTCATCCGTCGGCGCGTTCGCACGTTCGGTCGGTAGATCAAATAGCTTAGGCGCTTACAAGCATGCTTGAACCAGACCCTGGCTTCCAAACCTAGCCTGAGACAGCCTTGAGTCAGGACGAGGAGCAACTCACGGAGCGCTGCGAAGTTGAGAAGCCCCTGTTCTACCACGGGCTCGGCGCCTCAACATGGCTATGTGTTGGCTTCCATTGAAACCCACCAAAACAGGGGTAGCCTCAACATGGGGTGTCAGAATAGGTTTGAAACCCCACAAGAGTGCTTTTTCCTTGTGGTTTCCTCTTGAAACCAGCAACAAAGTGGTACCCGCTACAAACGCAAGCAGTGAAGGGGATGAGTGAGATTTGAGAGCAACGGATCACATTCAGTTGAATCCGTCAATTCGCTGTGCACAGAGGACATCCGGGTGTTTGCCGCAAACACCCGGATGTCCTCTGTGCACAGCGAATTGACGGATTCAACTGAATGTGATCCGTTGCCCTCAAATCTCACTCATCCCCTTCAACATCGCCCCAGCAAATTGGTCAAGGTCTTCCTTTCTGGTACAGGTCCCCAAAGGTCCAAAATCATTGTGTCGGTACTCTACCAGGACCCGATGCTTTATCCTTGTGACCGGGGTCTTTGAAGCACCGTGTTGAAGGTGGTTGATGGTTGCATTATTAATCCCAATGTAAATGATGTTCACGAGTCGAAAAAAAACTGCATTTCATGCCCAGTTGTTGATTTCCTTATGGCTCTCCTTGTTCAAAGCAGGCCAACAACAGCTTCTGAGTTTTTGCACGTACGCAAATGAGTATGTTTCGAACTGGCATTGGTATTCCCTTTGGAGGGGGGCGGGTTCAGCTGAACGCTGGTTCTCAAAATTCGTTTTGGGTCCCGTTTTTGTTTCCACCAGCAGTTGGGTGCTTCTGAGGATGCCACTGGCCATGCCGCTCGCCTGAGGCCTCGATTCAAGCTCTGCAGCCAGGATCGCGAGCAGCAGCGGACGTACTCCTTGCCGCGGGCCAAGCACCCGCGGCGTATCCATCGACTCCTTAGAACCCACCGGCTGGGTTCCGAATGCCTTCCAACCCCCAGGTTTCTCGTTGGATGGGAGGGTAATTGTCAAGCTTCAGAAAGAAGCCAAAATAGGGATGAAAGACTTTGCGGAAATTGTCCACCCAGCGGACTATGCCTGGCTGGTTTTTTGAATCGCACCAGCCGTGTGTCTGTTTTGCGGGACCCCCAAAATGGTGGATTTCCTCGTGGTTCGCCCAAAAAAGGGTCACACTCCCTCAGACTAGCATGGAAGCTGCCAGAAGGGTCTTCCAAACAAATGGGAGCTTCCATGTTAGTCGGTGGGAGGGCACCCCAAAAAAGACACACCCTTATGGCTGTGGCTCAAAAAACCGGTACCAAAATGGAACACTGGAAAGTGGAAACATGGACCAATGCCTGCATAAGCCTTCCTGTTTCATTTTGAGCCACATGCGCATATAGATTGGAGCCTCTTCCGGGGTACTCTGTTCCTGGCTTCAAGGCTGTGCTACAACGCTGCCTGCGACCTCGTCTTTGCCGTGGAAGCTGTGGCCCCGAAATCGGTGTCGGCGCAGTCGAAACCCCGAGCAGTTGTGCAGGAATGTCCGGGGTCTCCGATCCCAAACGGGTTTTATATAGGATAGGCTTAATATAGATCCGGACACAGTCAGAGCAACAGTAGTTCTGTGTATCTCCTTTCTTGTGGGCAGGGAATGGTTCCAACCCAACTTATCTGCTTACATGGATGGGGGGCAAATCTGGCTCGCCATGAGGTGGGTCCTTTACTTTCGGATCGCTTAATTCAGGTTTGGGATAGGTCCTAGGACTTGCAAAACATTTTATGCACGGCGGACTCCACCCTACCTTCTAGCTCATATCATTGGTTATCCAGCTGGGAGTAGTTGACCTCTCCGGATCAGTCGTTGGTTTCTTTTTAGAAGTGGAAGCCACTTTTCTTGGGTTCGTCGCATCACTGCGGGCTTCCAAACAAAGCACATGTTTGCACGGCGCCTGGGCAAAAGTGATACCATGATGTGGGGCTTCAGGTGGTCTTGGGCTCAGGGAAGTTTGCACTGGGCCCTCCAAAAGTCTTTCAGAGCCGGTCGATCTGAACCTAAGACGGGTCTAAGAGCCTTGCCTGACGTCAGTTTAACCGAACAGGGGATGTCAAAAGGAACTTCTGGAACTCTTTGGATGCGGCCCCTTCAAATGCCATCCGCGACGTGCCCATGGGTTAACTGAAAGCACTGGATGGAGCAATCTGTAAGACGCAATGAAAACAAACGAAGCCCCCTCCAGAACGAATCAGCACCAAATGGAGATTGGACCAAAGAAGCGAAAAAGCGCCACCCCCGCCCCCCCCCCCCCCCGCCCCCACCGATTCTCTTGGGCAAAACGCCATCAAGGACGGCGCCTGTGCGGCCTATGGCGGAGCCGAGTTGGCCAGGAGCCTTGGTCCGGCCAGCCGCCCTTTGGAGTGCCAAGAGGAACGCCAAAAGGAAGCCGGCGATTTTTGGGAATGGAGGAGTTGGAGAATGTGGTGTGTGTGTGTGTGTTTGGTGTGTGAGTTTTTTTTTTAGGATGTTTAGGTGTGTTTTGAGGGTGCCATTGTTGGGGTTGGTTTAAGGACCCCGAAAGGCATATGTGTCCTGTTCAGGTTACTTTGAAAATAAATAGATGGCACTGGTTTAGATGGGTTTGATTCCATGTACCAGGGCCATCTATTTTTCCAAAAGGTCACTTATTTCAGAAAGGGGGTCCCCGTAGTTTGACAATATGGGAAGGGTTCAGAAGAATGTTGAGACACACACACACAGACATTTGTGCATGTTTGAGCGGAACCCAAAGGAGGATGTTTAACCAAGGATCCTTAGATTTCCCTGGTGGTCTTAAACGTCGCCTTTTTGCTGGCTTAATGTGAGCTTTGCTTTTGGAATGCTGTTATGTTCTTACTTGCTCAAAGCAGATCGACCGGATCTGACTTGTTTTGGTTCCACTGTCTTGTTATATGTTACATTAAGGTTCCAAAAGGTTGACCCTTTTATTCCTGGACCCTATGGGCAACTGAGAAAAGGAGGATGTTAAAGCCGGAGGTGTTTAAACATGCTTAAGCAGGGAACCCTGGAGTGTGGATCCAAACCTGGGGCTGTCTCAAGGAACATTCGAGGACAAATAGCGGTCGTCTTGCATTGCGAACATATGGGATGGCGCCAACGGGGTTATCTCAAAATCGAGATAACTTTCTGTTTTCCCTTGGTTTCCGCTGGAAACAATCCCAAAACGAGTAGCCTCAACATAGGCATCCCCGTGCTTGGCAACTTGACAACCCTCGCCTTTGCCATTGAGGGCACCCCAAAAGGGGTTGGTTTAAAAGGAATCCAAGAGGAAAGCTGCATTTCCCCCCCCTCCCATTTTAAGACACACCCATACGCTAGAAGCAATCTAGAACTCCATCAGCCCACTTGCAAGATTCAAGGAAGGGAGAGTGCCATGACCAGCTACATGATGAACTGCTGCAGGTTGGAATATGTTGAGCATGACCCACTTGGCATATATGACACTTGCATGTAGCACCACAAAACAATGGTATTTCTATCACATGCAAACTGTGAAGAGATATTGCGGACGTATCATGGACAAATCCAAGCTGCAGCAGTTTGTTACACCTTGAATCCCGGCAGTTGCTCCTGTCATCAAGCTTACGAGTCGTTTCTCTCATCATGCGGACGCGGGACGCGTTGGAGCATTTATTTTGGCATTCCTCGCGCCAGCTTCGCTTCTTGCCACGTGCAAACTGGGGCCCCAAAACGAGACCAACAGGGGATGAGAAAGAGTCCAGACCCCTATTTAGATGTTCTTCATGTTTTTCGGTCCTTCGCTTTGAAGCCCAAAGATCGGGACGTGCGGGGAACCCCTCCAAGGGAAAAAGCAGACGCCTGTTAATTTATCAGGTGGACCAATTCGAGGTTGTCAGGGTTTTGTTTCTATTTTTGCCGAGGTCCCCAGATTTGACAATCCCGCATTTGCCGACACCTCCACTGGCGCTCTTTGTCCTTACAAGTTTCCCTTTCCGGTTGCTTCTATGAACATCCGCAGGTCTGGAAATCAACATGGGCCCAGGTGAAGCAGAACAAGGACTTGGCATCCTTTAGCAAGCTGGCAACGACTCCCAAGTGTCGGAACCTCAGAGACTGAGGTTTGTCCTTGACTTTCAGCCGGACAGACAAAACTTTTGGGGACAAGGCCTGACCAAAAACGGCCCAAAAACGGGTTCATTCATTTTCCTTGACGAACAGTTGCGAACCTTTTGCGGGCGGGTCTAAGCCTATACCTCCAAGAGGAACCCTTTGATCTGTGGGGCCGGAGGGGAGACGGAGGCATACAGCCTTTCCAAGAGTGTAGTGTAAACACCATGTGCATTCCGGCCATTTTTTTTCCCGCGGCTTTGTTGGAAACTCTTTGTTTTTGTACATATTCCTCGTCTTTCATAGGTCTTGGAACATCAGCAAGATCAAAACCAAAAAAGCTGCTTGATTTTTAAGCACTTCAATATTATGCCACCCGCCAAGTTTGGCTGGACGGGTTCCCTGCGAAACATGGAATCGACCCTTTTAAGGGTTCCTTCGCCACTATGAGGGTCCCACAGGTGGGACTGATTGACCATTCTGGCAGATGCGCGGGCCACAAACTTCTTGTTGATCTTGAAATGCCTCTTTGCAAACGGAGATGCTATGGATGGGCAAAATCCGCTTGGCACCAGTTGGCATGCGGTTTATCCCAGTATTCATACCTTTTCGTTCATCCACCTGTCGCACAAATTTGTCCATCCACAGTATGATTGCAGCTGAAATCCTCTTGGCTTTGTATCGTGTAAATTGGATCAGCAACACGGCTGTAGAAGTCACGAAAGGTAGCCTTGGGGAGACTACCTTGAGTCTTCCTTGCGTTAGCACGCTTAGGAGTGGGGGGGGCGGAGCGGGCCCCGGGCGCAATGCCGGGTCTTGTAGGTACGTAGAGTTTCTGTATATCTCCTGGGATTCCTTTGAGAGCTATCCCCCGGGTGCAAAGTAGAATTGTTTAAACAACCCGACTTTGGGCCTCCAATTCAAGCCAAGAGGCTGTTCAACAGTTGGTGGCTAAAACAATAATTTCAACAAAAAATTGGCGAATTCAACTCAGGCCATCATCACTTGGCACGTGTTCATGGCGCGTGCGCAAAAGAGCAATCCTTCAGCGAAAGAGATTGAACACAGTTCATTTGTTGGAGCCCGTTCAATGGATCCCCTGACAAAGGAGCGAAAGCGAGGGAGGCAGCACGGGACGTGGAGATGGCTTTCCGAGGTCGCATACCGACAAAGAGCCCAGCCATCATCGTTTCCACGAATGAGGCGCAAGGGGGACTTTGGGAAATGGCGTAGATGAAGGAAGCGATTGTGCAAGCTCTTTATGAGTTTCCGGCGCCTGACGGCGCCCAAGGAGGTTTACATGTACTAGGCTTGTTGGCTACTCCCTTAGCTATTGTAATAGTTGGTGAAATAAGTCAACCAAGAGCAAGATCGCAGATACTGGGATCCCGAATGTCGGCCTTGGAATCATCAACCTCGTGGACTAATGGGGGGGGGGGAAGCCACGTTGAGAAATCTCCGGTCAAGGGACCTCTAGTTTCTTTCTCCAGCTGCACTCGCTGCCATTTTTGGGGTTAGTCAGAACTTCAAGTGTGTCTCTGTGTGAGTGTGTGTGTGTTAGTTATTGAGGATTCCCTTTTTTGGGATAGTCTAGAACAACACCTTTCTGGCTGTCCCCACCTATGTGGGTGCGTCTAGACCCCAAACATGGTGAAGTTCTCTTTAGTTTCCACTTAAAGCAGTTCATGTTTGAGCTGACCCATTGGTGGCCCCGCCTATTCTCAATCAGTAAAAGCGGCAATCCAACTTTGTACTAGTGTTTCTCAAAATAGGATATGCAACGCACCCCCAAAATGGGGGCTTCGCGGCTTCGCGGCTTCACCTTTTTGAGCCGCACGCATGTGGGTATGCGCCTACATAGTGAAATCTCACAAGTGGTGCTTTTCAGTTTGCTCTCCCTTCCAAAACAAAACTACGAGTTTTGTAGGGCGAACAAAACCAACCGTTGTTGGGTTCTCATACTTTGAGACACACCCATAAGAAGATCTTTCTCCAATTGCAGGTGTTCCAGCCGCATGGCGGGCTGCAAAGATCTTTGCCTGGGCTTTTGTTTTCTGTGTTGTTCTGGGAAGTCAGGTTTCTTTTTTTCCCTTGCCTCAGTTCAGTTGCACCCTGAAAAACGCTCCTCGGCGCTTTTCCCATTCCCGATTTTCCGGTAAGGTTGCGGCCAACCAACAAGCGTACTAAATTGGTGGGAAAATGTCTCTGCTGCAATTGGGTTCATTTTTTAATGGCGATGGATTCGGTCGAATGGGAGCACCCCAAAACGGACGTATTTTCTACCCACACGGAGAAGGGCTATGTTCACTCAAGAATGCTGCATCCCTTCCGGCAGGGTATGGACTGCTCCATGACCCAAATACAGTAGGTTCCCCGGTGGGAAAATCCCACAGGAGCCGAGCAAAGCGGCTCGGCTCGAGCAGGTAGGGCCTAGGGCCTAGGTAAGCCATAGTGTAAAATTCGCAAAATATGGGGTTGTCCAAACAATTTGGGTACCCTCTAAAATGCTTTCCTTTTGGCTTCCCTTGCAAACCAACCCACAAAAGGAGTCCCCCCCCCAAAAACAAACAACAAAAATGGTTGCGGAGTCAGGAAAGTGATCTTTCGTTGTCCTCATGAATCTGCGCTTCGGCCCTTCAGGAAGGTGCGGCCTTGGTGTGCATCGTGCAGGAGGGCGGCGTTTTGCCCGGGCCCCGTTTTGCCGAAAGCGAACTCGTCCCAGAGGCGCCTGGCTAGTTCGTTTTGATGTATGGTGGAGTGGGGTGGGGGGGAAGAAGGTGACTTTGAAGCCTTAAAGTTGAGCAGCGTTTCATATTTGTTTCTTCTATCTTTTGCTTTGGAGGGTATCCCTTTCAAGCCGGCCACCTTGTAAAGCTAGCTACGCTCGCAAATCGACCTCATGGTGTCTCAAGTCCAGGCCATTCGTTTTTCACGAGCAACAGGGGCCCCCGCGTTTCAACCAGTTGGGGAGGGACTCAGAGGCATTTGTCAGGCTTATTCGTCACGGGGCTCGTTGACTGACAGGTTTCTGCAACTTCTCGACGTGGAAACTCGGGAGAGGTGTCTTCCAAAAGGAGCTAGACCTGATGGTTTGGGCATGTCAAGTAGCAGGGTGGCTGGAGGGTGTGAGGTATTTCTGCCGGAAGCTCTGGCCAAACTACCCCTAAGAAGGTAAGCCGTCAGTGGTTGGGCTTGCTGCAAGGACCCCCCTTAAGGCTGGTCTCAGTATTTTACCATGATCAAAGTCACCCCCTGAAGTGGTGGGTTAAAGGGAAACAGCCCCATTTACTGACTTTGATAACCCCCACAACCGTCAAAATAATGACCCCAGTAAGGGTGGTGGGCCGTCTCAACCTGACATCAACCCAAAGGCGCTCCCTGCAGGTCCGTGTACTCCGCGGAGGAAGCTCTCAAGGGCAACGCCAAAGAGGTGATTGGGTGGGTTCGACTCGCCCGGGTGCAGTGGAGTGAGAGCTTCCTAGATCTTTTGGAGACAGTGAACCTCCCAAAAAACAAGTGCTCTTTTTTCCATTGAACCTTCAAACAAAGTTTGTTGAACTGAGAGTTTTGCATTGAACTTCCCAAACCGTGCTCTTTTTAGTTTTTAAGGTGTGTCCTGTTTGTGACCGCAATATTCTTTAGTAGGATGCTTCCAGTAAATTGATTTGGACGCCTTGAAACATGCGGTCTCCTTTTAAAGCCAGGCAAAACGCTGGGGCCCCAATTTGCGAACACGGCCGGCAATCGTTTGACGTTTTGCTGTGCCGGGATGTCGAAGAACTCAATTGAACTTGTTTTGCGGATACAGCGTCTCAACAAGACTGCAATTTCCGGGGCCCGCCACATCACAAGGCCTTTGGCTTGCGAGTGGGGTGGTTCCTACAATACATCTTGTTGTCAAGGTGCCGGGCCGGCCCTGCTACAGGCATCGAAAGAAACCAGGGCATTACGAGACCAAGTAGACACAATGACCAAGAGCGCTTGGCCAAAGCTGCTGCAAGAACCATACACTGCTCCACTTTCACCATTTTGTTGTGTGGGTGGGTGGGTCTCTTTTGGAGTTGGTACACTTTTTGGCTTTGGGGAAAAGTTGAGAAGCAAATTTCGAGGGTTCTCCTCTTTGGGAGGGAAGCCGACTGAAGCCGCGCCCATTTGCTCCGACCCTTTAAGCGCCGGACCCTATCCCTCGCAGTTATGCGGCTTGATTCCCACCCGCAAATGTGGAAGGGGTAGAACATGTTTTCTAGGGAGGAAGGGCAACACATGTTGGACCCCTAAGAAATAGAATATGCTAGCGGGAGGAAGGGTAGAACATGGTTGTTTTGGGGGTCCTCCTGTCTTTTTTCAGGGGCCAACTTTCCACCCTTCCGATCAGGTCTTGGGATCATCCCTGCTTGAGACCCGTGCCCATTGTGTCTTGAGGATTCCCTTTTTGGGAGACAACCCTGTTCAGGTCGTGCATTCCAACAAAAGAAAGGTGTTCTTGGGATATTATTGCAAAGTATTTTGCCATGTTTGGAGGGGTTCTCCTTCAAGGGACGTCATGGGAAACCACTTTTTTGGGGGACCCTTTTCGTGCCGCTCTACTAGGGACACCAAGAAGAAGCTATAGCCCTTCTGTGCAAAAGGCCCACAATTCGGGCACCCCTTGAAATGGGTGGGGTTCCTTGTGTTCCCCTTTTAAAACCAGCAAAAAGGCGACCATCAAGCAAAAACACCTATTTTGTCAGGTCTACAGCGTTACGCTGGACGAGGAGGAGATTGTGCAGATCTCCTGGAAGGAAGATGACTTCCTCTGTGCTCGGCACCCCCAGGGGGCCTTGGGGCCTTGTTTTTGCTTCGAATCTTTGGCTCTTCGATTTTTTTGTGTCATAGCTTTTTTCTTTTTCTCGAATAGGTGACCAAAAGGGGAATTCCAGGCGCCCTAGTTTGGTGTTTGATGTTCATGTTTCTAGGTCCCCGGCTGTGAAGCTGCAAGACGGTCGTTTTGACAGCCACCGATTCAGGGGATCGAAAGCCCAGGGTCTCTATCCCAAGGACCCAAAAGTTAGCCCAAGGCACCTTTCCCTTCCTGACCCTGGCAAGTGAGTCAAGGGTTCGTCCATTCCCCTGTTGAAACCTCCAAAGTGGCGATGGTTTCAATGTACACCACCGGTAAATTGAAAAGCTTGATGGGGAAATCCAGTGACCCGAGTTTACCCTGCCTTTTGCCCATCTTTGTGAGTCTTTGTCCGGTAGTTCCTCACCGTACAGCTTTGAAAACTGAGCCCTACAGGCACCCGCTTCAAGTCGCATCGGCTGAAGAAGAATTGGCGCTTGAGCGGGACTTGGGTGCTAACACTCTTGGTCTGATCTTGCTTCAGAAATGGGGATTTGTCAGAATCACCGGCGATATGCAATGCGGACTTAGATCTCCTGGAGCCGTTGATTGGTTCTTGAGGTCACAGGCTTTACCATGTATTCACGGATCGCTGTGATGTGATGGGAAGCCACGACTTCCCCTCGACTGATATGACCTCGTCTCTTCGAGTATGCCATTGACAACATCATAATTTTGCCAGACCTAACTTTCAAACTGACCTTTGTGGATTTGCGCTTTCCAGCGCCTCCCAACGACTGTTTTTCGCCGTTTTCCAAGCCTCTTTTTTGATCCGTCCGAACAGCGGCAGTCTCCCAATTTTTAAGCCCATGTTTCCTCTTCCCCAGCCTAAAAGTGCTCACTTGTTTCAGGGTCCAAGGTTTTTCTGGCCCCGAGACGGCACGCAAAACATTGGATTCGGATTCGAAGGACGGGGGGCCTCAAGATGCATATATCACCTACCAGGTGAACATTGAGTGTAGAAAAGATGTATGTAAAGTACGGTGGTTCAAAGCCCATCAGAACTCCCAATTGAAAGGACGACACGACTTGTTCCACATCACAACTCGTCCAACAGTGGTGGCTAGGGTTTCCACACATTGGGGCAAAGCTGCGGTGTGTCTTTTTTGGAGGGCCCGTTCTGTTGTTTTAAAGGAAAACCAAAAGGAACCCAGGTCCCCCAAAAGAAGACGTACCCGTTTAGTTTTCCGGTCCACGTTTGATTGTTCGATCCATGGTCCTTCCCAAAGGCAGTCTTTCCTTTTCCGGCGGACGAATGGGTCATTCGGGATACCTTGAGGCGAAGCTTCTATATTTGTATATTGAGCAGACCCAAAATGGGTTTACGTCAAAGGGCAGCTATGTGTGTGTAGCAAACCCATTGGTTGGTGTTCTTTGGGTTTCGCTTCAATCAACCAGAAAGATAGGTTCTCCCGCCCCTCTCCCCCCCCACAAAAACAATCAAGCAACACACAACGAAATATCAAAACATATACAAACCAATTCGCTTGACTCCATGTGCTACACTCACAAAGCTCCAGTTGTCGGGTCCCAACGGCGCGGAGGTCTGTGAAAGCGGACGAACCTTCTTAGTGCATCCACAAGATAGCTGGGAGCCCCAGGTGCTAAGCCTCCCAGGATTGAGTTTGTCTCGTAGGAATTGGAACCGGGACCCAAAATGGGTGGCTTCCTTTTTTGGCTTCCTTTGAAATCATCCAAGGGCACCGAGCCGGAACAAAATGATACTCCCAGTCAAGTGAAGGCTGGAATTCCCTTTGCAATGCATTTTCCTTGTGGGAAGACCACAAACCCAAGGCTGCTGGAATTCCAGTTGTGGCAACCCATTCAGGGTTTGCCTTTTGACCGCACAAGAGAATCTGGAGGGTAAAGGGAATTGCTTGAGCCTCTGGGATTCTGGTATTTGCACGGAAAGGCATTTTCCCTTTGTGGGAACTAGTGGAACTAGAGGGCCTTAACCCCACTCCGTTCTCCCACCATCAATTGACGATTGAGCCATCAACGCCGAGCGGGTAGACAAATGTTTCCAGGGGACAGTCCCAACCATGAATAGCCGCAGCAAAAAGACGCCTTTGGATTCTTTACTATGGGTTTCGATGGACTCCTCCAGTACCAGTTTCTATTATGACTCTATCCAAAGCCGAGGTCCTTTGGTAGAAAAGCGAGTAGCGATTTGGGATAGTGAGATTTTGCAAGGAGGGGCAACTTATTTTGGTTCCGGCCAAGGAGGTTGATGCAAAGCTGGGTGTGTGATGTAGGGGATGTAGGGGGTCGAGATGGTTCCGCTGACGGCCGCATGGCGGGCCATGCCGGCATACTTGTGTTTGGGAACTCATTTGTGGATGTGCGCTTTTTTGAGGTTGCCCTCTCCAGTTTCTGAGACATACCCATTTTACGAATGCCATGGGAGGCCACGTGGCATGGGAACTTCTTGATTTTCCTGCACGTGTCAGAAGATGCCTGCGGAATCAGACCGAAGAGACCCAATGAAAGCCCTTCGAGCAAAACCTTTTCCTGGGGTCTCCGCCAAACAAAATGATTTTTAGGGTGGACGAAGTATGAATCAGCATTTGAACATCTTATTTCCCAGTACAGCGGAGTTCGCCACAAACAAAAACAACACATAAACAAACAAACAAACAAACCAACTTCCCCTTTGCCCCCTTCCCCCCCAAAACGCTCAAAGCCTCCCCACGGAAGTCCCGGTCGCGAGCCGCAAGGCACCTATTTCTGTGTCCACGAGCCGGCAGACTTTGCGCCCATTTGTGCTGCCGCCATACCGAGGCGGGAAGTCCAGTGACAAGCCTTGGCCGTCAGGGTATGACCCCAACAGGCAGCCCGTTTTTGTTTGGAAACAAATGGCCTTTCCATTCAACCTGCAAACGGTCTAACCACCTTTTGCCCCTTCGGGCTGGGAGGAAGCCAGAAAACACGAGTTTTCTTGGGGAATCCTCCGTTTTGAGCAGGCCTTTGATCCGGTTTGAATTTGGGGAGCTTCCACAAGCTTCAGGACCCTTGTGAGAAATACTAGGGCTGCCTTTTGAGGCTATTCTAAGATACCCCTGTTGAAGGCTTGTGAGGGCTCCCGATCCCTCTCCCGTCGCCCTTTGCAGCCGTGCTTTAGCAATCCTATGAACCCAAAGGCAGGACACAGGAGCCAACAGATGTGTGACTTGGGCCGTCCCCCCCGAACGGTCTCAGAGGTTTGGGCCAACGCAACTGGCTATACAACTGAATAAGGAACCACCTTAAAAGTGGTTGGTGGGCATCAATCCCCACCAAAAAGTTTGTCTGCCATTAAAGGGTCGCCCATGAAAACTCATGCCCAAACGGTCTTCCAAACAGGGGCCGACTGACAGCTCATTTGCTCGTTCCCACTCGCTCTGTGGGTCGCCGGTTAGCCTTTGATTTCACGGCAAGTGGGGATAGCACAAATGTGGGCATGTCGGGTAGTCGAAAACACTAAACCTGGCCCAAGTGCCTTGCAATCGAGGGTTTATAGCTTCCTTCTGGCTGTTTCTAGTATTTGTGAATTCCGCGGTAGGATGGAATTTGAAGTAGAAGCTCTCAATGCACAGAATGGGGGCAGGGGCACTTTGGGTTATCTCTTCCTTCCAGTACCCTGGGATGAGGGAGTGATTAACAACAGCAAACCATGAATATGTCCAAGGGCTTCTTTCAAACAACCTCCAAAACAAGTTGTTTCTGTTCCCACCCTGCGTCAACGCATCCGTTTGGCTCGCCTGGGAGGTCCGACTTTGCGCTCTTGGCCGGAGACCCCCCGGAGGACGAGGACAGGTCGAATCAGTCAATTGGTGCACCAGGTTGGTTGTTGATTGTTGCGTGTCTGTTGCTTGTTTGCTGCTTTCTAACGTCTACTTACCCTTTTTTGATTAGATATTCCATTTCTTCCCTAACATGGATGCACTGTGACAAACACCAACATGCCATACCCCATGCTTGCGCAGCTGATTAGGCGTCCTCTGAGGGCTTGTCAATCTGACACTTTTTTTGTTCTTTGCCTGCTGATCAGCACAATGCTTTCACAGCCACATTGGGGCACATTAGCGGGCACATGCGGGTACCGAGTCAGCAACAGAAAGAAAGCTGCCAGAACTCAGCTAGAAGACTTGGTCAAAAGCGACCGCCTGCATGTTGAAGGGTACTACACAATGTGTAGTTTGTGTAGTTTGCTGTTGGGTGAAAGTAGATGGCACCAGACTTCCTTTCAAAGTATGAAGGGGGGTTGTGGTGGGGGGTCATGCCATCCACTTTCACCCTGCTGTAACTTTCTAAGATGCCCGGAGGTCACTGCTTGGGTACTTTTAAGACGGTTTCTAGAACCTTACGGTTGCCAGTTGCCCAACAAGCCAAGGGTTGCAGAATCTGAAAAGCACAATTCTTACTCCAGAATTGGCCAAGGATCAAGAGTTGGTTCCACCTGAGGTTCGGTCAAGGACATATGAGGGGGAGTCCAAGAGGATCTCTTGGCTCCAGTTCCTTGCAACATGTCCGTGATTTGCACTAAGGGGCGCCCTGTTGAGAGGGTTTCAGCACTAGGGGAGGCAGTTCAGCTTTATGTTCAACCAAAAACCCTGGACCCCCCCCGTTCCAAACTAAGGCAACCCTTGGGAAAGACCGCTTTGACCCTACGAAGACCTCTAACCTTGGTTGCTCCGCGCCGTTTCGAAATGATCTTCAAAGCACAAGGGTAGACAATTGGTCCACAGTCCCTTTGGTTTCCCCTTAGGGGCCACATGAATCTACTCTATGAAACCCCGATGGCTTTTGGGAGCAGCTCAGTTGGCATTGCTTTGTGTTTGGCCTTGGGTGCTCAGAATAGATGGTGCTGCAGCCCGAGTGAAATCGGGCTGCATGTCTGTTCCTACCCTGCCGATCGCGCTTTGGAGCATTCCTGGCAAAGTGAGCCTCAAACGTGGCTCCGTCTTTCCAACGGAATCGGACAACGGCGGGGGTGGAAGGCTGCCATTTCAAAAAGGCCTTCTGTCCCCGTGGGTGAGTGCTTGTTGAACCGAGAGGAGAACCAAGATCCATTTTGCAAGCATCAACAAAGACCAGAATTTAAGTTTGGGGGCTACCCCAGTGGAAGATTCCGCAAGGGAACAAGCAAGCTTTGCCCAGCGATTCCTTTTCCCTGTATATCACCGAACCACCCGATGCAAAAAACACAAGAGGAACCTGGCTTGTTGCCAACTATAGCGGCTTGCCTGGGATGCACTGGGTTGGTGTGGAGGAGACAGTCAGTAGTTTGCGGTCCCATCGCTCAGGACACAGGCGCCAATCTTTGGGTCGAGCTCCCAGAGGGAGGGGCGTAAACTCGTCGTGGGCGCCTTACGTGGAAGTTTCTCGAAAGTCGTTTCCCTTCAACTACCAACCCAAAGGGGTCCACCGTTTTGAGGAAGAATTAAATTGGGGGGGGGAAGCACGAGCCCTGGAATTCCATTTGTAACTCCATGTTCCCTTTTTGTGAACACAAGAGAAGTGGGATTGGGGGGCTACCCCCGCCTCCCTTACGGTTTGCCACGCGAATGGCAGACAAATGAGTCGGAGTCGTGCATTCACCCAGCTGTTCCGCGGCTGTCGCCAAGTCCGTTTTTGTTTGGCGGCCTCTACGACGCAATCGGCCCCGAAAAGAACGGTGTTCTTTTTCCACCAGGGTGGGTCGAATCCAACGCCCTGAAATTGGCAGTTTTAGGGTGCCTGCCGCCCTTCACACCCCGTCAAGCGCAACACTTTCCTGGTGATCCAGTGGAGCAGTGCATTTTGTTCCGCCTTGCAGGCACAACCCGACAAGGGCCTTGCTATTTTGTCAAACACCGTAGCAAGCAGAGGAAACGCCTCCTCGAAAGTCATGCCCCTTTCTCGCCTTTCAAGTTGTTTACCCTATTTGTGGTTTCAAGCATCACCTTTTGGGCCAACAAAAAAAGTCAGTCTCCTGGGGAAATAAGTCGGGAGCCCTGTCTTGCATGCTTCTCCCTTAGGACCTCCCAAGGGCGTGTGTTTTTGTCAGCCAAAACCTCAAGCCCCCGGGCCTCGCTCGGGGCCGAGGCGGTGGATTTGCTGTCCGCGGACTCCTGGCCGCTCTTCCCGGAGGAGAGTCCGCGACGCGGGAGGCCAAACCCTTAGGGGGGCCTACAGATGAACGGAGTCCAGAAATCCCACCCATTTGTAGAGGAAGCTCCTTTTGGGGTTTGAATGGACCCCCTTTGGGGTTCCATGTTAAGTTGTAGGATGGATTTTCGGGGTGGACTAAAGATGTCAGTTTTTGAGCATTGCATTTGTGGTGTTGGTCTATTTTATAGATTTTAGTGTACCTGACCCTCAAAGACTACCCCCAAAACGGGTTGAACTATTGGGTGAATTTCCATTTTGAGGGCAGGCTGAGGGTACAGGTAGACCACATGCAAGCCATTTTAGGGAACCGATTCCGATTTTTAGTTTTGAGCATCATTTTTTGTGGCGGGGGTGGCCCAGACGCTACATTGTCTACCTGCGAGCAGCACACAATCACAATTGGAGTTTTTTGCAGGAGGTTGATCCACACTTATGCGACTACTGAAGAAGAAACGTGTGCTCAGCTGTAACTATGGCAAGGGACACTTTTGGACTGTAGGTTCAACCCCCACGCGGCCAATAGTTTCCAACCCGGAGAGACAAAGGGCCCGGCCTTGAAAAGGGGCACAACCAGACGGGCATCCCGCATCCTAGTTGGACGCATGTTTGGAACCTCCTCTGCTATTACCACCAAAAGGCCTCCTATCTGACAACCTTGCAGTCGACACAGTGTCCCCACGCATTCCTTCCAGGTTACGTTGCTTTTAGGTTACCTCAAATGAATGTTTGGTTGCCACTTAGAGCAATTTTGCTTGTGAGGCGATGCTTCAGCAGAGATATCATTGCAACCCGGTAGACATTACCAAGGCTCCATTCAGCTGCACCAGTGTCTGCTTAGCCTGCTGTGGTCAACTCTTTTCAACAAATCCTTCGGCCTGCGTTCCTTTGGACACATTCGTCATTTGGACGGGCAAGGGAAGCTATTATCCGCTGGTCATGGCATGCCCACTCTGTAAAAAGCAGGTGATGGCGGAGGGATTTCGACCCAAGGGATGTTCCAGTTTGTGGGAGAAGTTAGATAGGTGGAACTGTGGGACCCTCCCCACCCCCTCCTCCTTAAGTGAATGGGAACCCAGGATTGATTCCTACAAAGTGTCGCATTTGCGGGGAAGCAAGACCAGAGTTGCACCCCCCCTCGACCAGACCCATTGATCCGCGGTTTAAATCAGGCGGGTCAGCCCACTGGCCAAATCACAAGGGTCAAGAGTAGTATTGACATTGGGTCTTGTTGCTTTCCCTTTTCAGATACCAAGTTCCAACCCGTATAGACGGGCCTTGCAACAATTCTGCAGGGGTTGACCCAAGCATGTTGCGGTCGAATCGTCGCCCGCGGAGGACATGCCCGGCTCCCTGCAGGACGGGTCGGCGAAACCAGAGCGCCCGTCTCGCAGTTTGAATTCCTCCGTCAACAGTCGTGGGGTTTGGAAGACAGTTTTCCTATTGGGGAAGCCCCGTGTTTGGGGTTTTAACCCCTGGATTGCTATGCTAAGTTCCATTCCCTTTTTCTGGGAACACCCGAAAAATCCACCCCCCCCCCCGAACCCCTCCCCTTGAATTCAGGGGGATCTACGGATATTGGTAGGGACGTTGATCACCGCAAAAACAACTTCGCACCTAGAACTTGGCGGGCCGTTGGACCAGTTGGCCTTTCGAAAGCCCGCTCTACGAGATTCTGTTTTTGAGGTGAGAGCGCCTTTGCGAGCGAGTCATTTTGCGAATCCGCAGCGAGTTGGATGGGTTGTCTGTGCTCCCAAAGAGCAACATGAGGAGACCGGCTTGATTCCCCCTTTGGACCCAGCTCAACGTTTGCTGATTCCAGACTGGGTGTTTCAAAACCAGTGGCCAAAAGGTCCTAGAAGGAAAGTCCCAGAAGGAAAGTCCCAGAAGGAAAGTCCCAGAAGGAAAGTCCCAGAAGGAAAGTCCCAGAAGGAAAGTCCCAGAAGGAAAGTCCCAGAAGGTCCCAGAAAAAAGTCCCGGAAGGAAGGCCCCACATGATGTATTTTGGAGCACCAAGGGAACCAGTCTGCAGGGGCTCAACAATACCCTAAAAGAAAACAGATCATAGCACGTTGAAACGAGTGTTCTTGGCCGGAAATATGTTCTTAGAATTCCTGTAACAAAGCTGGAGAAGGGGGACATGGCGCAATGGCAGCGCGTCTCAACAACGGGTTGAGAAGGTTGTAGGTTCAAATCCTGCTGGCCCTGCAAACAAGCAAAGAATGAGTATTCAGTTTGGACAAGTACCAAGGATGCCAGATTACGGTACAGGTAACAAGCGGTCCCCACAAGGGCTCTTCATCATCAACAAGGCTATACAGTTGTTTTGTTTGCTAATCCACTCCGCAAAGGAGTAGCGCTTTGTGACGATGTCGGAACCAAACGCCAATGGGCTAGGTCCATGACTCTTTGGGGCCGCGGAAACTCGAAGCTGGGGAGGACCACTTGGTCTACGGCTCCCTGCGAGGTTTGCGAGTGGTGCCTCGCAAGGACTGGCAGGCACAGCGAAGCAACGTGATGTGTGGGGTCATTTCCTTAAACATGTTGTCCCTCCATTTTGAGGGTAATTACCCGTTTCTGGGATTGTTTGAAAAAGAAGTCAAAAAAGAGAAGCACCCTTTTTGGGCGTTCCCCATGAGACAGATATGAGAGCGTGAGATGGGGTTTGGTCCTCCGATTGTAGGCTTGGGGAATGGCCCCCACCCTAACCTAACCTTCGGGGGCGCATTTCCCATCTCTTGAATCTGGCATGGGATTTTGGAGGGGTCTCATTTGAGCACGACCTGGGCAAGTGATTCTTGAGTTACCATCATTCAGCCAGTTACTTGGAACCTAAGACGTAAGGGACAATTGTCCATACGAGGCCTTTTCCGGCCGTATTCAGATTGACTACACTATTTGTTTTCTTGGCAGTTCTTCCTGGTTGCGAATTGATTTGGAGTCCTTTGTGGTTGTTTTAGAAACGGCTATGATGGGGATTGTTGGTTGCTCTTTGGTTTGACTTAACACTTATCGCCTTTAAACCATTTGGAAAAGGGACTTCTTTCCCACTCAGCACCACACAGGCGGGGGCAGCTGGGGCGCCAGTGTCGGGCTTTCACTCCATGAAGCGTCTTGCGTCTAGGGAATTCCCATAGGTGTTTGTCAGCGACCATGGATGGCAAACTGGTTGCTTGTGGATTTAGTCATGTCAAGGTGTTGCCAGAGAGTCAGTTTGTCAGCAAGGCAGTGAGGCAGTGAGGCATCGGAGAGCCAGTGCGGCAGTGAGGCAGGTGTTGCTGTTAAGTAGAGGAGAGTACCAAAAACAAAACAGAAACAGGACAGCAAAGGAGCCGGCAAGTGTGGACAGCACGGCAAAGTGCCACCCAGTGATTCCATTTACTTGGTTTTGTAGGTAACCAACCAAACCACCCTTTCAAAACCAAATGGAACATGTCAAAGGGCTACCTACTATGCTGGCTTGCCTGGGATCCACGTGCAACAGTTACCAACAACCCCCGCGTTGCCCAACCCCTCCTGCTTTCGGCCCGCAGACTGATGGATTGCATCATGCGTCATGTGGATAAGGTATGATGAAGATGAGGAAGAGCCTCCTACTCTGAAAGCACCGGTGTACTGTAGCTGCTCATGGCTTGGGGGCAGCTATCCAGCATTTGTGTTTGGGGTCTTGGATGCCTTCGCCACCCGCAAATCAGATTGTTGCGGGTGGGAAGGAGGGGTGTTGACACTATATCAGGGCACCTCCAGCTTGAAGTGAGGAATTGGTGGTATTCTAGCAACCTTGCTGACGTCGGTCTTTTGTTACTCCCCGACAGATTAACCATGGAACCCTGGACACTAGAGGAATCTCCTTTTTGTGGACCCCCTTTTTCGGTCCCATGGGGAAAATTGCCACAGAACATGTTGTTCTAAATCTTAGGGGTTCCCGAAAACACATATATATATATATACACATATTCATATTTTGTATATATATATATATGATATGTGTTCGACACATGTTTTTTCCAAGTCTCCAAAGCCAAGCTTCTTCGCCCGTCGTCGCACCTGGCTCCAGCTTCAAACGGGCCAAGCCCGGAGCCTCCGTGAGACGCCAGAACCATCGGAGAATCCCAATGCGTTAGGTGGGTTTTCCGATGTCTCCCTGTCACCATGGGACCCACCCCAAGAAACCCTTTTCAAAGGGGGTCCCTTCAGAACAAAGGCGTGTGCAAATTGTGAGCTCAGTTGGGGGAAGACGCTTGGACCCCACGATGAAGGCTTCGTGGGTATTCCTTGATTTGCGTCAGTGAAACAAATGGTGCGGCGCTTTTTTCGGAGTTAGATTCCCATTTTGGGGTTGTCTTCAAGGGAAATCAAGAGGAATCCAGGGGTTGCAGGTGTTGCCTCAATACATTTGCAGACTTAACTCACCCGTTTGCCCTTTAGCCCTTTGTAGATGTCCTTCATGGTTCATTTCAACCAGCCAAAGTTGTGGTTTTTGCAGGGGATCTAAGTTAAGCCTGGCCAAGAAGAACGGGAAGCCAAAAGGGAAGTTCCAGCTTCCTACACTGAGAGAAGCCAAAGAGAAACCAACCGTTTCCCGGCACGGACTTGTTTCAAAAACACGAGTTTTGCCATGAACTTGTTTCCCATCCATTTGTGTGCTTTGGTGCATTTTGCTTGGATGTTAGGACTTTAACTTTTTGCCAACCAATGGGTTTACCTTTAAACCACTAAAAGTTAAAATTTTTAGCAGGGGAGAAGAAAGCAACCGCGTGTATGTGATCAAACCAACGGTTCCAAGAGAGGCCCAACTAATGCGCCATGTCGCTGAAGCTGCCGACGCCTGCGCGTCCGGGTTTTGGTCCCGGTGGCCTCCTGTCACCTGTTGCGCGCACCAGGCGGGCGCAGTGCCAGGAACCATCGGTCTCAGTCCCATTCGACCGCTGCAGCCCTTTTGGGTGTTGTTTAAGTAAGGTTCCCTGGCATCAGAACAGCCTATAGGCTAAATCCCCAAGTTAGAAGCTTTGCTCTAATTTGGGGGGGTTTTGCCAAGAAGCTTTTTACTGCCAAAATTTGGGGGGAGTTTGCCCTAATAACCAGGATCACCCACTTTCTTCTTTTGTTTTTTGGGGGGGTTGCTCAAATTAGGGTCCAGGTATCCCCTCACGGCGGCACAAGGCACCGAAACGGGTCCACATTCTACCAGCTCCCTTTGAATTGGGACTCCAAATCGTGGTTCCATTATCCCTTTTGTCGGGAAGACTAGCATGCGACTGGGAAATTCCCACCCTCCCTTCAGGTATCGAGATGAGCCTGGATAGTCTTGCATCCTCATTCATGCTCGGCAGCTGGGCATCCCGCAACAGCCCATCTCTGGTGAGGCAACAACAAGTCCGTGAGCAGCAAAAGCAGGGGCAAAGCCAGGGACGAGGTCGGCACAAGCCCCTTCCAGAAGTCCATTCTGTGCCGATTGGATGGGTAAACGCTTCCATTCTTTCCAGGGATCCTTCGTTCAACCAGCAAAAAGCCAGGAAAGGGGAGCGGGTACTTGAAAAGAAGGACGGCTGAAAAGAGTCGACCAGGACCTTACCCCCTAGATGTATCCATATGTGCAACATGTTCGGGGGTTACTAGTAGTCATTTCCTTTTGGTTTGCCTTTCAACCAAGGTGAAGAAAGGTACCCAGCTCCCAGAATGACACATGGCAGTCACAGATCTGTGTCCGGGCCAGTCCCTTTGGTTTTGTTTCCCGTGGTTTCCTTGTAAAACTAGGTGTTTCCTTGTAAACCAAGGTTGGTTCTCCTTGGTAAAAATACTTGACCTTTTGCTTTCTCTCTAAACCTATGTGCGAAAAGAAAAGGGTACCCCCTGAAAGAACAAAGGTATAGACACCCGGTGTCCAGGCCAATCTTGCCCAAAAGCTTCACTGCAGACTCGCTGCCGCGGCTCGATGACGAGGAGGGCCAGGAGGGGTTGGCTCCAACGGATCGGACCGGCGCTTCTCGCGGGCTGAGGGAGGGCAGTTCGGGTTTTTGTTCAATCGACGGTTCCTCTACACGGGTTTGCTTTCTTTTGAGGGCTTGCCTTTTCCTGGAGTGGCTTTGAAGGAAAACCCGAAGGCACCCCTGTGGAAAGCTCACAATGTTTGCTGTCCGGTTTTAAGACTCACACACAAAGAGGGTCGCTTTGGGAAGGGTACCTGGTTTTTGCATCATTTTTAGCCTGGGGCCAAAAGCAGCTGGTTATTCTATCATGTACTGATTTGGAGCCTATAGAGGGAGCCAGAGGAACTTTTCTCTTGACTGGTGCCTCGGAGTGACGTTTCAGAAGTTTCTTATGCCCCAAGTTGGCCCTTTGGTATTGGATCAGGGGTTCTCAGCCATTGGCTATCGTGTAGCTGGGTGCGATGATGTTTATGCGCTTTTGAGGGCCTCGAATTGGGGATCCCCGAGTGGATCCATTTTGGATGTTTTTTGGTTGCGAATGGCAAGGGAGTATGTTGTTGCAATGCCCCCCTCCATTTAGGTGGTGTACATACCCTCTTCCTAAACAGATAGATAAATAAGACTGCAAGCTGTGTGACAGAGCAAATTTCCCTCAATTTCTTCAGCTCCAGGAGAGGCCGGCACCCACCTTGTCCTTGCCACGGCGGGTGGATTCCCCAGAGGTCTCGCCCCGAGGTGCGCGATGGAACTCGGATTCGATGCTCCTTGGGCCCACCTCCTCGGATGCTAAAAGAGTATCAACAGATTCCGAACAGTATTTAGCACGGGGCAGAACAAGTGGAATCCACAACATCCGCAACGTCTTCCCAAATCTCCCCCAACCACCCCCCCCTCCCCCAAAACACAACTGTCTTGTTGCTAGTAGCGACCTATTATCCAGAAAACAGTTTGGGTGCGTTGTTTGTGGATTAAACCTGTTCGTTTGGGTCTTTCCTAGTGATCTTCTAGTATGTGTATATATATATATATATATATCAGGGGTGCACATCCAAACCGTTTTCTAGACATTACATTCTAAGAAAGGGAGATTGATTGGGATCCAACGAGTTTCGGCCAACAGAAGTCCAATGGTCGATTTAAGGCTTCGGGACATGGATGTGGGGCCGAGGCATGATAATTCAGCCAAGGAACGGCGAAGGCTAAGAAAAGAGCCTTTTGTGGTTGGAAAAACGCCCCGCCCCCCCCCCCCCCGCCATAAAAAAGAAAAGACGACATAAAGCGGACGTGGTTTCTACCTTGTGGTTCTCGCGGCCTTCTTTAGGGCGTTGGGTGGGGTTTGGGCCTTCAGAGCCTAAGTGTCCATAGGGGGTAACCTCGGTTTTCAGAGCCAACACTCAGAAGTGATTGAGGACCATAAGCCATACCGAGGACCCATTGCTCTTGCCACTCTGAAACAGGTTCTTCGCACTCTCCGAATTTCAGGACTTTCAGTTTTGCGGATTTTGATCATTTGAGTGGCAAGCAACACCGAGACCTACAGGTGGATTGCTTCCTTTTTTCCTTTCTTCTGCGGTGCCCTTGTTTTGGATGCGGGAACCCGTTTAAAAGCAATTACCAAAAACAAGACGGCCCTTTTCTTCCCATGTCCTCCAATGGGGGTCTGGGAACAAGTCAAGACTTTTTCTGACCAATCTACTCAGGAAGCGACCGGTGTCACTCTGCCTGCTGACTAGAGCTTGCGGAAGCTGCTAGTCCCACAGAGGCTCCCTCCCTCCCTGTCGGCTTGTTTGCCATTTTGAGAGTTGGTCAGTTTGAAGGTTTGTATTGTTTCAACCCTGTGTAAGCCTATGTCAGTCTGGCTTCTCACTTGACCAGCGGCCACACTATTTTTACAAATCCAGGAAGTTAGTCTGGGAGTTGGGCCCCTTCGCCAGGGGCGATGGCGAAGATGGGCCTCCCCTCCATCCTGCAGCGCCGGCACTACGCGCCCTCGCCGCGGTGGTGCCTCGATTGGATTCCAATCGAACATTGAGTCGTGCCGTTCCTTTGGTGTCCCGTTGAGACGGCCGCCAGGCTAAAGGTTAAAAGCAACCAATCCGAGGGTTAGACCCAAATGGGGACGCCCCCAAAACAATTGGGCGGTTTGAATCCCTTCCCCCAAGAAAGAAAGCGCCTTTGGGCACCCGCCCTGACGAGTCCAGACCTCTCCGGCCAGCCTTCCCCTTCAGGGCCCGCCAATAGAACACCCGAGGGAAGTAGAAGCAAGCCGTTTTCTCGATTTTCCAGTGCTAGAGAGGGCCAGGATTCAAACGATTCATCAGGGGGGCTGTGTATTGTTGGAAGGGGGTGCTCTTGGTGATATTGTCAAACCCTGAGATTTCTTAGGCGAGCTGTAGAAAGGCATTTGCTGTTCCGGCTAGCTGATGTTTCGAGATCCGGCATGGCGACCCTTTGCACTATGAAAGGAAGGGTATTGGCAGAAGTACTGGCAATAGCTTTGATAGCTTTGTGTTGTTTCGTCTTCAACTTTGATGTTTTTGTGCATGCAGAACAGGGGGTGTCATCAATGGAGGGTTTGGAAGGGTGCGCAAAATTGAGCATGTTGTGTTTCAACCCTGACTACAAACGTTTTGTTTTATTCTTTAAAGGTTTTTTTCTTAAAAACAACTTGGTTGTTTTTCAAACCATACCCTAACTAAAGTATGTGCAGTCGTAACTGTAGGGAGCCCTAGGTTCTAATAAGCGGGTTCCGATAGCTTGCACCAAAGGAGAATCTTGCATTTGTGCATCCGAAAGAAAGCCATTTGGCTAGAACCAATTTAGACAGGGTCACCCAAGCTTTTTTGTAAGCAACTGACTGGGATGCCTCCAAAAGGTTTGAAGATGGTCCGGTTCCACTTACAATAGTCTTTGCCTTCAGTTTATCATTCCCGGAAAGTTGAAGAGTTGGCTCGAAACAAACCCAAAGCCAGCCCTGCTGAGTCTGAGGAGGGGGTTATGCGAAGGGGCAAACCGATTACGACTCAAGCACAACTCAAAGTACCCAAGTACCCCACAACTCGCTTCTCGTGGTTTAGGCCCTTGCATCAGCCCAGTGCTTCCAGGCAAGCCAGAAGAAACCTCTATTTACAAAGGGGGAATCCCTTTCGCCTGATACACATATATATATATATATATAGATAGATATATTTATATGGCTGTGTCTTTTTGGAGGGTACCCTTTTAGTGGTTGCTTTAAAAGGAAACCAAGAGGAAAGTCATGTTTTTTGGTTGGGGGGAGGGACACCCAAAAGAAAGTCGCCTGCTTTTGGGGGGTGGGGTGGGTGGGGTGGGTTCCCCTTTGAGACAAGACCATTTGGTGCCTTTTTGGCAAGCTGACCGAGCCGAGCTCCGAGGACCTGCGCGGAGGAGGTCGACACCTGGTCGCACCTGGAGAGCGAGCGGGCGCTGAAGGCGGTGGAGACCCCGGTGGCGCCCCACCGGAGGCGCGTGTCCGCGCGCGCGCGTGGCTCCCTCGCTTGCTCGCTGCCGGTTTCGGGGGGCGGTTCGGAGGCTCGCTGCCATTTGGGACCCCCCGCAAAAAATGTCCTAGTTGTCCTTTCAATCAAGAAGGGCACCCTCAAAAACCACACACCCTTTGGGGTTGCTTTAAAGGGAAACCAAAAGCATGACCACCATGTGTTGGGTGGTTTGAAACACGTATACCCAAATTGCACACGATTGCTGTTGTTTGTTTTCCATTTGGAACGCAAGGGGATGGCCATGTTTGAGATGCTAAAATGTCTGCTTCCTGTCGGTTCGCATCTGGGAGCATTTCGGGAATCATCGGCCTAATGGACCAGCACCCCGCAACAAAGCACGTGGGATTTTTCAAAATAAACAAAGTAGTCATTCAGGTTGCTGGAAATGGGTCCGCATTCTCCCTGAAAGGGTACCTCTTTATTGAAAAGAACCAAAACCGACACCCATTTCAGTGGTTTCCACAAACCCAAATGGCGTTATGCTCATTCTGAACAGTTTTTCCACCCTATTCGCAAAAAACACCATCCTTGGAAAGGTCAATCCACTGGGCAAGTGTATTTGGACTCTGGGGAGGGACCAAAACCGCCAAAACCTGCCAGTTGCTGGGTGGTTTATCCCAGTACAGGGTTTCGTCTACCCAAACTGGAACAGGAGCTTTTGGTCCATAGTTGGTTACTGATTTCTTGCTGGCATGTCGAATTGATCAACCAAGAAAGGGGCCGAACCTGAAAACAATGACTAAACCACTAGGGTGGATAAATGTGTTGGTTTTCTTTGGTCACCAATCCACGGGGGGCGATCCCTGGATCAGCTCAGGATAAGAAAGGAAAAGCCCTTAAAAAGGCCTTAGTGAGGGGTTAAGGGATGCCCCCCCCTCCTCATAGCCCTTTTTGGGGGTCCAAGGCTTTGCTATAAGGCCTTTGGAGGGTTTCTGTACACCATTTTCATTTTGTGCTGGATTCCCTCTGGAGACCCTCCTCGGGTATAGGCTTCCCCCAAACAACAGCTTGGTGTCGAAACCCGAAAATGGGTTCAACTTCTTGCTCCCCTCTGAAGAAGCCTTTTTTTTCGCGGTACCCGACACACACACAACACCCCAATGCTGGTTTTCCTTTTTGTTTCCCCCCTAAAGGGTGCCCTTGAAGTAACAAAAACCGCCCCCCCCCATTTCTCGAGAGGGTTATTTGGTACCCTGTTGATGGTCTTCGAGGGGTCATTTGGTAGCTCCTGAGGTTCTTTTCCCGGACTCTTAGGAGCTGCACCAACCCGTTTCTTTTCATTGAGGCACAACTCCATCCTGGATTTTGAGCGGCTCTTCACGCAGTTCTTCGTCCAGGCCCCGGGGTTTTGGGATTGTGGGGTCTCCAAAAGGGACGGATGGCACATGAGCAGGACATGGATGAGCATGTGCCCACTTACCGGATTGCAAACGAACACATGGGAGGTTTCCAAGCTGCTCGTTTGTGGTTTGGGGTTGATCAAGTAGGAAAGATAATCTAAACTTGTGATTTGAGTTGCACAGATGTGGGAGTTGTGATGCTCTTCCGGAAATTATGGTGTTCCTTTTCTGGGACAGACTGCGCACAAGTTGCTCCGAGCCTGCAAAAGATGGCCAAACCACAAGGCTGAGTTGGTGCTGGGAAATGATATGTTTGCTCATCGCATGAGGAGGTTGCCGTACTTTGAGCATTGATCAGGATATTTTTCACAAGTTGCCTGCTTGTGAGCTATCCAAATTCGTGCACGTCCACGCATTTCCTTCGAACAGCATTGCAACACTTGGTTCGCATGTCCAGCGTGGATTCTTTCAAGAACTTTGTCAAAGGCTTAACGTCTTAAGCACATGGCTGTACGAGATCAACTGGACACGCTACATGGAGCAGCTCTGGAAGCGGGTTGTTCCACTACCACGACCGTAGGAAGCCTCAAGATCTAGTCAAAGGCGGATGCCTGCGGCTGAAGCAATCCCGCGTGTGGTGGAGAAACGATATTGCCCACCAGCAATTTTATGGCGAGCTCGTTTTGTTCCCTACTTCGGGATGCCTTACATCAAGTATTGCACACATTTTGAAAGTTGCAGAGTAATTAACAGAGGTCCTTGCCGGATGTCACTTTGGCAAGTCTTCAGAATTCACCAAGATACATGATGCCATCACGTTTAACGATAGCTTAAGGGGTATCTTGAGAGCCGGGGTAGAACTAGGATAGATGTTGCGCTTTTCAGGCAACACTACAAGGTGTAGTATTTTGAATTCATTAGAAGCATAGGTTCCTGATGGGCCCCTTGCGGATGTTGCTGGTAGAGGGCCAGTCATCTATGGTGATCCCCCATGACCTTGCACCTTTGAGCAGTCAGACATAGATACTATGTTTTGTGCCTCCGCAATTTGTTCACAGCCATCATGCAAGTATAGATAACATATATATATATATGTATATATACACGCATACGTACATAATATGTTTACATGCAACACATACTGTGTATATACATTCGTTTTAAATGTAACACTGTGTATAAACATAGATGTATACATTTACACATGTACGTACAGACATGCAATCTCTTCTGACAGATCCCCCTTCGTCTGCGTGCACTCGCAGCATCTTCCAGGTACGCCCCTCGCGGTGGCGGGGCTTGTGGGCTGATGCGGGCCCCGTTCATCCAGAGGAGCACTACGTGCGAAATATGGTCAGGGCAAAAGGGGAGAGGCCATTCTAAGGCAGTTTCCACCCCCCCCCCAACCACTGCCCGCAGAGGAGTTCCGAAACATGCAATCACTATATAGCCACTATGTAAAGGGTATAAATCCCGCTTTCCTCCTTGGGGTGGGGGCCGTGTTAGAGTTAACGGTTGTGAAAAACTTAGTTTTGGGAGAAACTGTGTGATACCAACCCAGACACCCAGTGGTGCCTTTTTTCCTTTTCTTTTGAAGGACGCTACTATGGTATCCCAAAAGGGTGCCGCCCACTTGCTCGGGCACGTTGGCAATTTGGAGAACAGATCTGCACAAGTAGGACCTCACAAAGAAAGAGAGTGGGCGAAGAGTGGGGCTTCACAAAGTTCCTATCGTTTTCAACCCCCACGGAAATCTTGATTGGCCATTCACGCCAAACTTCCGGAAAGGCTTGGCACTTGGATGTTCCAGTCCCAGTGGTGGCCCTGATTGATAGCGATTGGGTTAGTCCCTCTTGGGCGGCTTGTAAATGGCACCTCGCCTGAATTGCTACCTTGCTGACTGGGCGGAATACCATCACAGTCGCATGCTCTTGGCTCTTGTCCTAAGACCTCCCACCTTGTCCAGAATGGGAACGCGGTGTCGCCCACAGGTTGGCCGTCCTCAGTGCTTCGGTTGGAAGAAAGCATCGTATGATGAATATCAACAAGCAGCTCTCCAGTCAGCTACCAGCCCCCCCCCCCCCCCAACTGCTCTTTCCCATGTCCAACAATCCCAAGTTTCAGAAGGCAGTGGTGACCCATATGGACCAATCAGTGTCCAAAAGGCACGGTAGATTTGTCCAACACCCAAAATCCCCAATTTCTTGAGACCCGGCTGGTAGGATGTGGCGGCAGCCTGGGCGGAGCACACCGCCAAGTACATCGTGCGCCGCTCGGCCAGAACCCGGCCCCCCCCCCCCCCCCGCCCCTTCGCAGGTCCAAAACGCTCTTGGAAGAAGGGGGGAGCCAAAGCTGTCTTTTGGGGTTGGTTTCTTTTGCACCGAACTCCATTTTTGGAGAGTCTCAAGTTAACAGTTTGTTAGAGGATTTGTTGGGCAGTTGGAAGGTTTCCTAGGGATGAATTGCACGTCATGGTCTTTCGACCCAGTTCTGCCCGGCGTGCTTGTTTCAGTTTGCCTAAGCAGATGGAACCAAACCCGAATCAGTTTGGTTCGCATGTACCAGGGGACGCCGCGATTTACTGGCCGTTTTAAGGAGAGTCTTGATTCTGTCTGTACACACACAATCCAATCCAGCAATTCCAGAAATCAAGCATTTCTCCAGGGTCAACCTTACCGGGAATCCTTGAGGCAGAAGAACTTTGAGCCGGCCAAAGCGCAGGGCGGTGATTTGTCACCAGCGCGTCCCTCCCAACCAGGGTGAGAGCCCCTCCGTCAGGGGAGAGACCACTGGTGTGTGCTTTTTATGGGTACGCAGTTTTGAGTTGTTTTCAATTGAAACCAAGGGTGACATTTCTGATCTTGAGGGTTGCCCTTTTTTGTCGGTGTTTTGGGAATGGTAGGGAAATCCATTTGCGGATTCCCCCATTTTGAGACAACCTCCACTTGTTGCTTAAAGTGTCCTTGTCTCGGTTTGGGTAGGACAAATGTCGGATGCCCACCTTTTCCGAACAGCGGAGTGGGTCGACCCTGGAATTCCATCCAGAAAGATGGAAATAGGGGGCTCCCCACCCGACACTCCACACCATCTCACCTCCCTCCCTCCAGATGGGTATGGTTGATTCCCTAAATATTGCACCCCGGTAGTTTACGTATAGTGTGTTCGGTTGGTTCACTTGCAGGATTTAGAAATCGACTGGGAAGATGTTTGAGAGAAGTGAGAACCAACCGGAGCGCATGCCCTAAGCAAATTGCAACCGGAGGCCACGCCGAGATTTGCCTGAACTACTGGCCCTACATCCAGTTGGAGTACGAGTCGGTGCACCAGAGGGTCCTCCAGGACGTTTGCTCCCACCCGCGCAGTGCTTCCCCGCTGGGTTTCCCTTGCCAACAAAAGTGAAAAGACGCACTCACATGAGTTTCTCCCAAATTGTGGACCCTTGTGGTCGGTATTTGAAGGGACACCTAAAGGAAACCGAGGGAGAGTACTTGAATCCGAGGTTCCGAGGTTTTGGTCCTGGGGTTAAGTTCGGCCAGGAGATGGAGTGGGCGGTGGAGTGGTCAGGCAAGAGGCCGGGTTCCCGTGGCTTCGGAAGGTCACTTTCGGGATCTCGTGCCATTTGAGGCGAAACGAAACGCCACTTGAGTTCATGGACTTGATATTTTTTTTGGATGATCATCTGAGTGGGAAACAAAAAGGTCGGACTTGTCTGGCCAATCCACTCGATCGGAAGGTCCCACAGGCAACCTTCGCCATTTTCCAGTTTGCTTTTCAACGGGCCCCGGGTGCAGTTTGGTTGCACCCCCAACTTGGACATGGGAAAACATCAGTTGTTAGGGGAGTGCTGGTTGGGGCTCCGTTTGGTTACTGCGATGCTGGGTTGCCAGGATTTGTCCCAGTACTGTAGTTTGTATTTTCCCCTTGTGGGTTGGGTCTCAGCAAGGAATTCCCGAGTGCGGGTTTTGGGAATGAACCTTTCGGGGATCCTCCAAAGGAAACCCTTCCCTGCAAACCAACAAGAAACAGGTGGGGGAAGGGGCTCGATTCCATGAGTTTTCCCGCGGTTTCGTCGGGTGTTTAAAAGGGACATGGAAAGGGGCCGACATCGGCTGGTCTACCCCCCACCTCAAGCCTTTGAAAAACATCCATGTGGACGATCCACACCTTCCAGTGGCTCAGGTGATGTTTAAACCACCCAAGGCCCTGGATAGAAACCACGCAATTAGACCACCCCAATTGTTCCCCCCCCCCCCCCCCCCCCAAAACCGGCAGATTCCTCCCAAGAGAGGCTTCCGGTGCACTTCCCCTGTGGCAATTTCAGCGCAGTTGCCAGGTGTGCCTGCGGGTCTCTTTTTTGTGGGTTTCCAGACACATGTACATGTGCCGAAAAGAAAGAAGAAAACACACATTCCCGCCATTTTTGTTTGGGGGGGTCCCAGCTAAGGATGGGGCAAGTTTAAGCAACTGATTGTTCAACAACCTCCCTTTTCAAGAAGAAGCCTCCATCCCCATTCTTTCCAGGGATCCTTGTTTTCAGGAAACACAAACCCAGGGAAACAGTCGTTTTTTGAAATGAACGATTGTTAAAAAGAATGGGGAATCAACCCCGAGACCTTTGCTTTTGTCTCCCTAGGGAACCAACGTTTCCGTGTGAATGTTGCACCTCCCCATTTCCTCAGATAGCCCTTGCTTTGTGGATTGGTGGCTTGACCCAAACCACCAAACCACCAACTAGAGGCCAGCTGACATGTTTGCTTGTTGTTTCATATGTGTTTTGCAACCTCCTTCAGACCCTGCCGTTGAAACAATCCACAGGCTGCTTGTCTCACTTGCCCAAAGCCGAGCTTTTAACCTTTTGCTTGCCCCTTTTTGGTCCACGTTTAGTCAAGGTTCCAAGAGGTTGCTTGACCTTTGCTTTCTGGGTCCTTTGGGCAACTGAGAAGTGTTGCCTTTTTCTACCGTCCTCACTGGACGACTGGGAGCAACTGACATCCATTGGCTTAAACCCCTTGGAAAACACAAATCAAATACCAGTAGTCATGATGTTCCCTAACACCAACTGGGGAAAAATCACAACACAAATGACCCTCTGAAAGGCAAATGGACGCCCTTGTAATGTGGACCCCTTGAAAAAGAAAAGCCCCCAGTAAAAAACAAACCACGGGACTTAAAGGGGATTCTGAAACGCAAACGCATGCTGATCACCGCGCCCCCAGCTCCCCGCTCCGCTTCCGAGGTACCGCGTGGAGATCTCGCTGCTGCCGGAGCGCGTCTGCCACCGGCTGCTCTGGGCCTTGGGGGACGCCCTGCTGCCGGACCAGTTCCTCCACGAGATGCAGCGGTCCTTGCAGGCGCAGCTCACATGGCCATGAATTCCAAAGTTGGTGGACATAAATCCTCACCTAAACGGTGTCCACCACAGCGTCCCTTATTAGAATGCACACCCTATAAGTTTTTGGCCTAGTCACTACAATCCCAAAGGGCGAATTCCCCTTAAAGGGTGGTGCTGGGCTCAGGCGGAATTTTACTTGGTTGGACTCGAAATGGTGAACCAAAAGCTGGCTGGTTTTTTGGCAAGCGAGCAGGACATGGATGACCATGTATCCACTTACGGATCGCAAACGGATCGCAATCAACAGCCAGGTGAAACAACAGCCAGACGTTGGTTTCCCTTAAACAGAACCCAGAAGGAGAGTGGTTTAGAAGGAAAGCAAATAAGGGCCCTTTCCAAGCCATGTTTCGGCAAAGGCTTGGCCCCACCCTGCAAAATGTGTTTGAACAACCAAAAAGAGAGTCTTCAAAGAACGGCCTTCACACCAATTGGGCTCACGCAAGAGCTCTTTCCGTGGTTTGTTGTCGAGGGTCACCCATGCCTGGGGTCGGCAATTTGTTGTTTTGGCTAAATGCGAAAGAGAGTCAGAATATATTAGTATGGGTCTGTCTGCTGTTTAGCGGAAAACCCGAAAATTATGGCTTTCCTTTTGGGTTTCCATGCAAAACCACGAACAACGGGCACCGCAAAGGAAGACCCCCCCCAGGTGCGAGCCAAGCATTGGGCTTGACACACGGTGGATCCACATATTTTTTCGCAAGTGCGCCAGCATCCAACCACCAAATCCAGTAGACTTTAGGTGCTTCCCTGAACAGAAGCCACATTTATTTGGAGTTGGTGCCTTTTTTTGGGGTTGGTCTAAAGAGAAACGGGGAAGCACCTAGTGATCTTCCAGCTTGCTAAAGCTTAGTATCAGGAGCTAAATCACTCTTACACTTCGGCCAGCGGCCATTGGATGTCTTCGCAGTCTTGATAGAGCACGCCGAGCCTCATTGGTGCACATAAATCCTCACCATGATGTCCACCAAGTGCCCAATGACAATTCATACCCACTTGACCAGCCTGCCCATTGGGCTTTGGGCCAGTATGCTTTTGTTGGTACCCCACCTGAATCAAACCCATCGTCTTCGGACACCTTCCACGGTCTTGATTGGCGGTTGGTCCTCAGTTTTCCGGCCGATCAGGTTGCCCTACAGCGGATCGGCTTGAGTTTCTGTTGCAACCACCCAACCTCCAAACCACCAATCCACCAGTGAGAGGGAAGCTGAGAGAAGCATCCCTGGTCAGAATGGTTGGCTGTTCGGGCTTAAATGAGGGTCGTTTTCGGCTGTGGAAAGAGCTGCGCTTTGCAGGTTGTTTGCTTTTGCTTTTACGAAGCGCCGTACGATTTGGGGGTCCGGCAGAGCCGAAGAATGGGTCAATGAGTCCAAACGCTGTCAGGGTTGGACATCTCAGTCGGAGGTGCGGGGGGATGCGATGTGTTACAATGTGTGAATGCAGCATCTTTTTGGCTTGCCATCTTACTTCAATGGCATCCTTTTGGCTCACCTTCAAAGCAAGCTTCCAAACAGGTGCATCCATTTTGAACCCGCGCGGCTCTTCCTTGATTTCCAGTCCAGGCACTCTGGCAGAACCACCACTTTCGCGGCCCGGCAAGCGTGGAGAGCGAGATGCAGACTCCGTTAAGCCTCCTGTGAAGGGAAACCAAGGGAAACCCCCTATTGGGAGACAACCAATCTGCCCAAGAGGGTTTTGGATGCTTCCCAGTTGGTCTTAGAGCAACATGAAATGACTCTGGCTGGCAATGCCTGGTTTTGTGGCAGATGGAAGTAAACACTCCGTCCGTGGACAAAAACCTGGAACCTGACTGACCGGGACTTCTTACCACCCTCAAAGGATCAGGTGGGTTTCATGGCAACGTGGGCAGAGTCACAAGCCAATTTCCCAAATGTCCTCTTGGGAAGCCAAACACTTACTGACTTACTGGTTCTCAGCTCAACTAATTCTCAGCTTTGAATGATGGAATGCACCCTAATCCTTCGCGGTTGTCTTTGAGAGCCCAGGTGCAGTCCCGGCACCCTTGACTCGGAAACAGCAAGATCATATTGTCGGTGGGTGTTGTAATTCCAGACTATATTGCCAATAAACTCCCATGCGTGCGAGGTTAGAACAAGCAACTTTTGGACAACCCGGATGTTGTTCTTCCGGCTGACAGACCATTCAAAGGCTCGCAGACATGCTGCCCGAGGGGTGTTTCTTGCGCTTGAGAAGTGCTTGCCTTTGCCAAAAACAGTCCAACCACATTGCCAGACCAAAGGCACACCTTCTCAGTCGTTTTGCCCATGATGTTTCTCTTTCAACCAGCAAACAGCTTTTGCAGTGGGTCCGAGTCTGGCTGAGACGATATAGAGCTTTGAGTTCAATCTATGGGCCTACTGGCTTGCTTGAAAGGCAGCTCTATGAAACACAGGTCTTCGGTTTCAGTTTCGGCTGCAGTTCCAGCTCACCCCCAAGAAGGGTACCCTGCAAAACACATTGCATCAATGGAGACCTCCTCTATGTTCCCTACTTTGGTTTCTTTCCCATTGGTTTTCCCGTATTCAAAAAGAAGGTTCGTTGCTCTGTGCTTGGAAGCACACTTGGAAGCTATCAATGTAAGTATCAAGAATATCAACCAGAACCCGCGAATGTTTGGGCAGGTATTTGGCGAAGTGCCTGGGCAGATTTCTATCGAGCTCCACCATGAAGGCACTGTACCTGTTCTGGGGGGTCCAAAATCCGATTTGTGAGTTGCCTGAGTTGGAAAGCTGGGGCTTATTGAAGGGGCTGCGCGTTCCTCACATTTGCCATGGTCGAAAGATCCATCTAGCTGGGGTTGGCGATTATCATCAACTGGGATGTTTTGGACGCCCATGGTGAGGATTCCAGTTAAGGAAACCATGACCATGGCCCGCATGGAGTTTTGATCACTCCTCATTCGGGCGAATCCACGGGTCGAATCGAATCTGAGGAACCTGCGACTCCATCCTGCGGCCCTGGGGCACCTTCCAGATGCTGCTGGCGCCTCGGCAGCAAAAAAAAGGCATCGCCGTCGGTTCAGCAAGCAACCAACCAAGGCTCTTTGTCCCATTAATCAAGGGATCCTCTCTTGCATCAAGCAAACAAGCAAATCCCGGAAGCCGCTGGCACCTTTGAGTTTCAGCTCGTTCGGCTCTGTCGGAAGCTTTGCTTGCCTCTTGGCATGTAGCTTTTGCAGCGAACCCGATACCATGGACGCTAGTGACCGCAACGCAAGTTGGCAGCTGCAGCTATGGGTTTTTGAGGTATGGCGATTATGTAGCACTTATACAAGGGGAATAAAGTGCCTTTCAAGCTTATATCGGAGATAAATACGTATTCATACAACTAAAACCCATAACCTGAATCACTGAACATGCCAACTTGAGCTCTTCCTCTCAGGTGCTTTGCAGCTTTTTCCTGGTGCTGTGTGCCCAAAGTGCCGACTTCTACGGCCGCGCTGTGTATGGGGGCCACGGGTTCCAGGGGCTGCACGTGAAGGGCGGCGGCAATGCGCGCGAGCGTGTGGCAAGGGAGGAGAGGCATGTCGTTGCCAAAATTCGCATGGACGAACTCTTGCAGTTGCGATGCCTCCAAGGTTTCCCCGTGTTTTGTCTGCTATTTGTTGGTCTGGCTGGCCGGCAGTGTGTCTGTTTGTCTGTCTGTCTGTGTCCATGTTTCGTATCACCAAGAGTGGTTCTGAGGAGGCCATGGACCATCTGGCATCGCGGCTTCTCTTCCTAGGCGGGAGGTTTGCAGCGGAGCTTGGGTTGGTCAAAACATAGGCTTCGCGGCCGCCAAAGAGGGGGAGGTCACCAAGGTGTCACATCCTGTCAACCTCCCGGTCACATTCGACTGCTCAAAGGGACTCAAACACGTCAAAATGTTGACCCCGGATGAATAAACCCTGTTTATTAATATGGGGGTGTCCCTGGTTTTGGTGGGGATTTATGGCTTTTGGAGGGGAGCACCCCCATATTAATAAACATGGGACATTATGTCAGCTCAAAGCTGGCCCATTGTGGTCAGCATTGCGACCCCCTCACCTCCAGAAGGTTCTAAGGACCTTTCCTGGGCTGTTTTATCCTCCAACTGCCAGAAAATAATCCCTTCCCAGGCCACTGACTGGTTTGTTGCTCTTTGCTTTCGCGGGCCCAGGTGTAGACCTTTGAAACATGGCAGAAGCTCCCCAGCCATGGCCGCTTCACATCAGGGGACACACAAACAGACAACCGAGATTCAGTTTGTGGGGCTTCGTCCTTCTTTACCCTCCAGCGCCAAGAGGATCCCGCATGGGAAGCCTAAGACTGGCTATGGCGATAGGGTTTGGGTGCTAAATGCTCCCCACTTCATGCCCCCCCCTTTTGAGATCAAGCTGAAATCCAGAAATAAGATGCAACAGGTTATTCAGACATAAAGCACCATGCCAGCATACCATTTTCATACGGGCGTGGTTTTTGAGGGTGCCCCTTTGGGGTTAAGCGGAACCAAAGCCACACGACCACCCAAAACCGGTACCCCTATTTGACGCATACCCTTCTTGACCTAATGTTCCATCTTCCACTGTGGGATGAGGGTCCCAGCACCTGTCAGGGCTCGTGCCACCTGCGCTAGCGTCGCTGGCTCAAGGAGTTGGTGGTTTGGATTGGTGGTGTGGGGATTTGAACCCCAAGTTCTTGTGGAGGGTTAATGGGACATCACCTCGGAACGCCAACCACCAATCCAAGCCACCACTTGGAGGGAATTGGTGCAGACCCATTCTCAAAATTCGGGCCCCTTAAAGATCGGCAGGTTCCCTTTTGGGTCCTTTAAGGCCATCCGAGGCAATCCTTACGCCAGATAGTGGTGATTTCCCTTAGTGCAGTGATGTCCCATCATGGATTAGACGAGGGATCCCTCCAAATCTTGAGCGACCCAGTTTTGATAAAGCCCCAATCCTTCACTTGCTCCGAGGCATCCTTTTAGGTGTCTTTTTGCTGGAAAGGAAAGCAAAGCAAAACTCAAGGGAAACCAACCAACCCTCTCCTCATTTCTCCCGCGCCCAACGGCGCGCGCCCCTGTGCGCGCCTGCGCGTTGAGTCGCGGATTTTTGCCGCAGGCGGCTTGGGCCATTTGTGGATCTTCTACATGGTGGCCTCCTTCTTCCCACTGCGCAGCTTGCACAGCCCCTTCCACCGAGACACATGGCCAGACTTACATCTCACCTTTTCCAGCTTCCTTTACACTTAACTTACCCTTTTGGGGTTGTGATCCCTTTCACACCCAAGGAAACCGGTCGTTTCTGGTTGCCTCACATTGTGCAAAGCTCGACTTCAGCGGCCTATTTGCAGCTGTCGCCTCCTTTGCCGCTTCCTTGCTGGCCGATTTGTGTGGTGCGGCCCAGGACTTGGGGTCCATGGCGGCGTACTCCAAAAGCTCCCTGAGGCGCTCCGGAAAACGTCGGAAGGGGGGGGGGGGCGGATGCACCCCCAACTGCGTTTTGGAAGGCCCAGGGATGCGTTTAACGGGCGAAGTGAAGTTTGCCGCTGTGTGGATGTTAGGCTGAGCTTGGAAAGGTCTAGTTCTTTCAGCCCGGCCCCACTGGACGCTTTCTGAAGGGAGTTTGGACACGAGAAGAAGCTGGCAAGTTGGGGGGGAGGGGGTGGATGTTTTGGATTTGGTGCCCTTGGTTTGAGGGCTGCAATGTCGGGGGAAACATATATGAGTTTCAAAATCTGGAACGCTCTCCAAAATGGGTGGACATAAATCCCCCGTGTACACTAGTGTTAAGGAACTCTCCAAGTGGTTGGGCTTCTCTCAAGTTGCCCTTCAAAGCTTGTCTTACTTTTGAGACATACCCGTTCGGGCCCATGGTTCTGTTTTGGGCTCCCCGAAATTGTGGACGATGCACCAGGGTTGGGGAAGCCAAAGGCAAAGAACAAGTTGAAGCAAACTGTTTTTCAGGCTAACTCCACCTAGCCTTCGTTTACCCCATGTAAGTCCCTTGCACTTAAGCTCAACCATGCAAGCAACCCTCTCCAAGTGGGTGATCCAACTAAATCGCAGGGGTTTCTCATAACCTTTTGAAGAACCCCTAAGCTTCTAATAACAATCACCCCAGCAAATTCAACTTGGGGGTGTTTGATCAACTAGCCATAAGCTCGGGTCACAGCATGTCACAGCAGTTTGGAGCCTCCACGGGAGCTTTGGATACCGTTTATACGCCCGTGCTTCTGTATTTTGCGCACGTGCTCAGTTGGGGGGGGGGGGTTCGCTGAATGTTTCTCCCTAAGTACCAAGGATTGTATGGTAGACTGGCGTGTGCATCCCCAGCCTCCAGCAACCCTGGCAGAAAACCGGGCACCGATCCTTTGTCAAACCATTTTGGGGGTGGGATTGTTTAAAGGAAAGCCAAAAGGACAGCCAGTTTTAAATTTCTATTTTGGCACATACCCTCCATCAACATGGAGGTTCAGATAATCCCTTTGCAAAGGCAAAGCACGAAGTCCAAAAGAGGCTTATGCTCTTCCATTCTGGGCCAAAAGCAACTGTGTAGCATTTGGGGAACCCTGAACAAAAGGACCCCCCCATTTTCGGAATGCAATGGGAACCCGGATGAATAAGGGGGGTGCCACCCACAAAAGCGATGCATCCGCGCTACAATTAGTGGGGGGCACATTCCTACCTAGAGTCTCCATGACCCTTAGAAAAATGGGTCCATGACCACTGAGTTTTGGGTAATGACCCACCATTTTTTAAGGGTCAGAAGGAGACTCCAGGTATGACTCGACCAGTTCCCACGGATGCGGCAGGGTGATGCGCGTCTTCTTGCCGCTGGTCTCCTGCGCCAAGCTGGCGGCGCTCTGGGTGCGCTTCGAGCGCCTCCAGCTGCGCCTGCGCCTCCTCGGCGGCCACGCGGCGAGAAGTTCGGCTGTTGTCAAAATTGAACCAGGGGTTCAAAGCCCCAGTTCCCAACCAATCCCTGAGTCATTGGACCTTAAATGGGTCAAAACCAATGGGATCCTATTTTGGTTGGTAGGTGAATTCACCCATCTTAGAACCCATTTTAGTGGTTGGATTGGGATGTTCACTGGGGGTACTATTTGGATAGCGACTTAGGGCGACGGGGCCCAGGGCCGAAGATAAAGGGCGAAAGAATGAGAATAGGGATTTGGGGGGTACCATAAAACTAGACTGAGTCATAAAGGGCCGAACAAATTGGAACGGAGATTTGGGGTATTTTAAATCTAAAACAATTGTCATGACTAATAGAACATGTTGTTGGTACTTGAACGTCAGGGTCCTCGGAGTCCACCAAAGTGCTCCAGAAAAGCAACGCCACAAACCCCCGTCCCCTGTTTGTTTGGTGGGCTCCCCGCTAAAATCGTGAACCCCTACCGGGCTTACTGGACTGGGAATGAACTGTGAATCTAAAAGGAAGCCTTTGGGTTTCCTGGTGTCTCCTCAGAGCATATTTTATGTTCAAGATTGGCTGAATATGAAACAGAATCATAATTTGCGTGTGCTCCAGAGTTGGGGATCTCAAGGAAACCACAAGGCTTATTTCAAGAGGAGCCTCTCAGGGAATGGAGTGAGCCCCCCGCAAAACCGAACAAACATCAGGCGGTGTTCCATTTAGTCTCCCTTCAAACCAACCTGAAAAGGGCACCAAAGACATGGGGGTTGATCAAAAGGTCCTTTACATGGGATGACCATTGGAGACAACCACTAAAAAGGATGATCTTTACAACACCCACGGTCATTTGGGGGACCAGGAATATTGATCAACCCCCACATATGGACATCAAAGAAAACCCTCAGGCATCATGAACCTCCCTTGAGGGCCATAGTGGGCACCTTGAGGCCTCGGGGATTAGGGGATCGACCCCCCCATAGTCACTGGAGCTCCAATTTGGGGATGCGCGACAGACAGTGGCGTCCCAATCGAAAGCATTTGGGTTATTTTTGAACAACTAAGTTTGGCCCAGTTGAATCCACCAAACTTGGATATGGCGTTTTTGGTTGAACAGGTACCTTAAAAAAGACAAACAAACCCCCATTCACGGCGGCCGTTCTGCGACGCACATTCCGCTCAAACCAAGGTGACACAGCGCTGGTGCTGCTGGCTGCCACGCTGCCGCTGCTGGCGGTTTCCGTGGCACGGAAGAAGTGAGTCCCGCGCAGGGGATTTCGACCCCAACATGGAGACAGAACATGGGTTTCGGAAATGGGGACAAGCAGTCGTTCGGGGTTGCTGGCTGAGGGTGGCCCGCAATTAGCAATTTGTTGTGTTTGTTTGTTTGTTTGTTTGTTTGTTTGTTTGTTTGTTTGTTTGTTTGTTTGTTTGTTTGTTTGTTTGTTTGTTTGTGTGTTTGTGTGTTTGTTTGTTTGTTTGTTTGTTTGTTTGTTTGTTTGTTTGTTTGTTTGTTTGCTTGCTTGTTTGCTTTTGTTTCCTTTTTTGTTTGTTTGTTTCCTTGTTTGTTTGTTTGTTTGTTTGTTGGTTTGTTTGTTTGTTTGTGTGTTTGTTTGTTTGCGTGTTTGTTTGTTTGTTTGTTTGTTTGTTTGTTTGTTTGTTTTGAGGGTACCCTTTTGAGGTTGGTGTGCACGGACGAACGACACGATTCAGAGATCCGCAGCCAGGTTGGTTTTAGGGCAGCTCAACGGAGAACCAGCATTTCGGGGATTCATCTATTTTGACACATACCCAGATGGCCGGGGTTAAGAAAATGTCCCCTGTTGAGACCTCACTTGGTTGTTAAACTCGAGTATAACTTTATTGTACCTTACAGGTATTGCACATCACCACTTAGCAATCGGTATCCGTTCACACAGGTCATCTATAGTCCTCTTGTTCAACAGTCCTTGGGACATACGAACGAGATACAAATGATATTATATACATCCACCGCAACTTAAACCCCATGTCCATTCCTGTGTGGGTTGTTGGAGCAGGGCTTTTTGCTCCTGATTGTTTGACACATCACCTTTTTACCCATAGGTGAGTGTCCTTGGCAGGAGCGATATGTTTTCAGATTGGAAGTCTAGCGAACTGCGTTTGTTTTTTTCCTGGCTGTACTAAAACTCCTCAACCCGCAGAAGGCATGGCTCCAATTCCTTTTCTACCTTTGGGGTCACTGAACCGGGGCTGTGTTGTTTCCCTAGGTCTGCGTGGCAGTGCGCTCTTCCTTCTACTCCCACTATCACTTTAGCTCGGTGCTGCTCGCAGGCGGGCTAGCGGCTGTGGTCTCCTTCAAGCCAGCCCCAAGAAGGGCGCCCGGGGAAAAGGCGCACCATCCCTGCGCAATGAGCTCACAAAGCGGGCTCACCCATGTCCGCGGGGTCCGGATGGTGAATGAGATTTGGTTGCCCAGATCTTCCCCTCCAGATTGGCATGGTCAAGAGACCGGTTCCCTTACGGTTGTCATGCATGTCATCAGTCCCTATTTCGGGGTTTTAGACAGACATGCTAAGGACTCCTAGAGCCATGACCATGGCCCACGTCAAGAGTCTTTGAGCATTGCACAGACAGGTGTTGATGATCTTCAGGTCCCTACTGTAGAAACAACAAATACGTGGGTACATGCCAACAAAAATATGGCACTGGTTTCCATTTCATAGCTTGAGAAGGGTACCCACACAAAGCACACCCCAGCTTTGATAGTGGAGACACCTTTGGGTGGTCGGTTTCCGTTTGGTGTTCCTTCTGACCCATTGCAAAAGGAGGTTCGTGCCATGTTACGGCGGTGGCATTTTGGCAGCCTCAAAATTGCCTTTTGAGGTAGCCGTCACGTTTCCTTTTGTTTCCCTTTGTAACATGATTCGCCTTTGGTTTCCTTTTTTCAACAAGCCCCAACATGGGCATCCAAAAGAAGACACGCACGGCTTTTGAGGGAAAACACACACACAAGGGTTTGTCTCACAATTAGTGGACCCCAACCAATGGTTGCTTTTCTTTCCCCACAAAGCAGACACCCAACAGAAGGCATTTCTCGTCTTTGCACCCCAAAACGGGTTCCAAGGACCCCTCAAAGATTTTTCCTCAACGAACTGGGGTTCCCAAACAAACCAAAAGGGGGATTCCCACACGGGAGTTGGGTCTCTGCCTAAGCCCCAAGGACAAACTCTGCGGGAGCCTCCCTCCAAAGGGTCATATCATGTCCTAATATGCTTTCAGCTGGTGGATGGCTGAGGGAAGGAACAGACTCTTGGACCGAAGATAGTTCCCGACTGCCGCACTCCCTTTCGAATTCCCCCTCCCCCCCCAGAAAGAAAGACACCGTGGGTTTTCCGCCCTGTTACTTTATTTCTTCTTCGGTTTTCCCGTTGAATTGCCCAAACCGGGGCTTCCCATTGGGGCGCACGCCCGGAGGCATGAACGGTCTGCTGAGCATCGGCTTCGCGCGTTACCTGGAGGTGGGCTGGGCCGTGCTTTGCGTGGCTGCCGTGCTCATGGCCCCTCGCGGCGAAGGGCAAATGGATTTTTGGGGCCGTGGGGGGGGAGGGTGGGATCGGGCTTTGGCGCTGAAAGGATTCCAGCTGAACCTCAAAACAACCCAAACACCAGTTGGTTTAGAGTCAATGTTCCGGTCTTTGGAAGGCCTGGGCATGGAAGCTTTCGCGAGACCCAAGCCCAAACGGGTGCCTCCGTTTTCCTTCCAAGCCCTCGTCCTAAGCAAAGGACAGAGATCCTTGACCTTTTTGGTGTGGTTTAAACATGACGATTTGGAAGATGTGGCTGCCACTTGTGGTTGTTTTTAGGATGGGCATGTCAGGAACCCGACAAAAGTTCCCCAGTCCTCTTGGAGAAGTCACCCAAATTGTCCGGCAATGGGATGTAGCTAATTACTCAGGACTAATTGTTTTCTTAATCCATGCGTTCTGCCAAGGAGGCTGTTTGGGGCTGCTATCTTATTGGGGTTTCAGGTTTTTTTTTAAAGGGATCTTTGGGTTTAGGTTGAGGGTTTTCAAGCTGTAGGTCTAAAAGATGGTGTTTAAGTTTAGGGTTCTCAGGGTTTAGGGTTTTTAGGGTTTGGGGTGGAATGCAGAAAAGCAAGGTTGGCCGCAAGCACAACTCCCGCGCCGCGGAAGGTTCACTTTCAGTTCCTGAGTTTACAAGTTGGGGCGAGGTGGGTCGGGGACGTCTTGCTTTTTGGTCGGGGGCTTCCCTAAGGCTTCCCTTTAAGACAACACCAAAAGGGGTTCCATGATTCCGTAGATTTCCCCTTGGGTGGTTTTGCGCGGCCATGTTAAGTGAGGTTCTGTGTTGGTTGGCTTGAACCCCATCGCTATCCAACCCAACAAATCCAAACCAACTAGACAAAAGCTGAATTTAGGGATGGTAATTCTGGGACGTCTGACAACCCGCTACAAGAAGCAAGCAAGGGTTCAACCCCCCCAGTTCCCAACCAATCCCTGAGTCATTGGACCTTAAATGGTTGGTTAAAGAAAGGGTAACTTGTTCTTGAAGGAAATGGGTGTGGCTCAAAATTAAAGAGCGAGGGTTACGCGGGTTTTCGTCTTCGGTTCCATTTCCCAAGCCCTTTTGGTCGATTTCTTTGAGCCACAGCCAAATCCCCGAGGTTTGGCTGCTGCTGTTCGCCCAGTACACCTCGGAGTTCACGAAGGCGAACCTCATCAAGGCGAGACCAAGCTGCCAAGGAGTGCCGCCCAACCCCCAGGGGTTCATTTCTCAGTGGTTCCCAGCCATCCGGTTCAGAAAGTTAGTGGGAATTTCCATGTAACCTGCTAAAAGTTAAAGTTTTAGTGGGGGATCTGAGAGCAGCCCAGGTTCTACTACCTAGTTTACACTTGAGGGTTGTAGCATGGTGGCACTAGGCAGCCTTTGTAACCAACTTGGTAGAATCAAAAGTCAATCCATCTTTCGGTGCTGCTGAGATGGAAATATCATCGTTACGGGGAACATTGTAGCTTTCTCGGCACTGTGACTACGAGTTGAAGAACCAACTTCTCTCGGGCACCAACACACTGCAGTGGTATTCGTGTTCGACACCAGATTCAGACTTATGAACGCCTTTTGGCAGGCAGTTGTCAGCCTGTTCACAGTGGAAACAGCAGGTCTGTAATGCGATCATACGAAACCAGCGTCGTTACGTTCAGAATCCGTCCATTTGACTCAAGAGCTGCAAGGTGAATGTTTTCCAATTAACGGGGGGTGCAACAGAGCAACCAACATATTTGTCTTGCGCAAATTTATTGAAGCATCATACCTAGAAATCAACATGGAAGTAAAAGCCTTTTTCTAAAAACAAAAAAAAAAACAAGAGAGTATCCTTTTTTGATTTCCGGCCAATATTTAGCCTTGCGGCCATTCTTCAACTGGCAGTCTCAGTTTGAGCATAATTATTGCCAGCATTGTTTTTTGGCGGCTTGTGTTGCACAACTTTCCGCAATTCCGGCGAAACTTTCTGAACAGGAAACTTGAGTCCACTCCTGCGACTATGAGTATTATTGACCCTCAGCGGAAGACCCTCTGAGACAAGTCAACTATCAGCCCAACTCAGCGGATAATTTTGAGGTCGGGAAGAAGGGTTAGTGGACCCTAACAACGGCAGTTCTTCACTGTTTCCCATTTGCCCTCCACAAGGATCAGAGCCAGACCACCTATCCAAACCATCAATGGCTATCCAATTGAAGAGTTGGAATGTCCAGCATTTCGGGTCCAACTACTTGAAGTTCACACCCGTGAGATATGTGCGTGCCTCTTTTTTGGGGTACCCTCTTTGAGATTCAGCTTGTGCTCAGCGGCAGTGCTGAGCCGGCCGGGGAGTAGTTTTGTTCAATTGCTCCGGTTTGTTCGCACAAGATCTGCGTAGCTCGCTTCGGATGGGAGGCCAAAGGGGAAAAGGGGACGCAGCGACAGCGGGGCAACTGCAGACACATGTTTTTGCTTATGCATCTTTGGCTGTCTATCGACGTCTGCTCTCGACTTTGGCTTTGTTAAAGTAGTGGCGACATGTTCAAGCGTTGCTCGACTTTGTAGATTCTCTGGATTTGTCTGCTTGTGTACGTACTTGCCCCTTGGGAGTTTGGGTGTGAGCTACGCTGTCTTGTGCGCGCTTTGCGTTGCGCTGCTGCGCCTTGCCTTTCGCAGCGAGTGGAATGTTTTTGTTTGACGTTTATTACTGTTATACATTTTTTTAATAGTTTTATATTTGTTTAAACAAGTTGTCCATTCCATTTAAAGTTGTTTAAAGATTTCCCGTTTTTTTTGCTCCATGTTTTTTTTTTTTATGTTTTTAAACTTTTTGTTGGAATTTTGCGAAACTTTGCGCAACTGTGTTCCATATATATAGTTACTTGTGGCTAGTACTTGGGATGCACGATGTGTTAGAACATGTTAGAGTAACCCACAAGCCTCTTGAAAACAGTCAATTCACGGGGAACGAAATCCAGCCGAAGGGAAGCAGATCGAGGCCGCCCAGATCCAGTGGGCCTTCGTGCACGGCCTGGTGCTGCTGACCCTGGTCTTGGCCCTGGCCCTTGAGGCCCAGGAATCAGACCCAGAGCCAGCCAGACGCATCAGAGCCCATGCCCATGCCATGTCACTGACGGATGTGGGAAGGACGGATGGTCTTGAAGATCCAACTCGGCGGGAATGGGTTTGCCTCTAAATGGGACCCCCACCCCCCGCACAAAAACAAACCATGGGTGGATTCCCTTTGGGTTTTTTGGCGCAACTTAGCTGTTCCATCTTCTCCCTTTGCAACCGAGCGGAGGTGGAAGCGGGCTTCGCGCGGCGGTTCGTGCACTTCTTTTGCAGCTCGCCACAGCTTGGGGCTGGGTGGGGGCCAACTGGGATCCTCTGAGCAACCTCAGGGGCAAAGCTGGGGGCCTTTTTGGGTATTTATCCCAGGTGGCACCAGCGTCCAAAAAGGGGCCGCACTCCTGGCTCCTGGCAGCCGCTGCCCCCACGGCAGTGCAGAAAAGGGGGTCCTTCAGCCATCAACGACCACCGGGCCGCCAATTGATTTGTAGGGTCAGGTATGCAATCTGCGCGTTCCCTTACCAATATGCGGTCAGAGGCTTCGAACAAGGGCTCAGCGCCATATTGATCAACCAACAAATTGTCAATCCTGTGTTTGCACTAGAGGAAACCAGGCATTCAGGGTCCCCTCTTTTAGGACACTATTTGAGCCGGGGCCGTGGCAAAAGGTTCCAACAACCAGTTGCAGCAGAGTTGAGTTATGCTCAAACAAGTCTTTGTTTCAGGCCCTCCCTCGCAAACCACTACCTGCAACACACCAGCCCTCCAAACACCCTCTGGAGAAAGACTCGTCGACTCGTATTCAGTAAAGTTGAAGGTGTGTTTGGGGTTCATGTTTGTGCGCAGGGTGATGTTGTCCTCGGGTTTATCAACCCGTAAACATGAATAGTGGGGGGAGGGGGGGGGGGGCGGGATCCTTCCAAAAGTGAAGGTTTCCCGCTGAACTGAGACACCCCCATGGTCTATCCAAAACTTCGCAGGGTTTATCCATCACAGCTGGTTCATAATGTTGTCCATCCGCACTATGAATCAACCAGGGCTTTACACATCTTGCGTCAACAATAGGAGCGCTTCAAAGATTTTCACACCTCAAGAACAGGTGCTTTGCTACAGGAGGGACGGGTTCCAGTCCCGTTTCCATAGTCGAAATACGGGACCCCACAATTGAGGCTTTCCTTCGGTTTCCCTTTAAACAAAGGTGAACAGGGTGCCCTCCAGAAAACGGAACCACCATGCCGGAGGCGAGTCTCAGACGCTGGTGCCGAGCAAAGTGTGCAAGCGCCTGCTCAGCGGCCACTGAGCGGCCTGCTGCGGCGGCGCAGCTCCTTTCTCGTCGAAGAAAATCCGAGGCTCGCAGTCGAGGTGTCCAAACTGGGTCTATGTATTAAATGGTGTTTTTGTTGCTCTGTTTTTTTTCTTCTTGTTTTTTCTTTTCTCTTTTTTCTTCATTTTTTCAAGTGACATTTCAACCAGGTTCAAATATGTTACGTGTTTTCATTAGTACTTTTCTGTTGGGTGGAAAGAGGGGAGTTTGAGGGGCTGGGCAATGGACGAGTTGCCGGACCGAGGTGTGGGAATTGATGGAAGAGGCAATTGTTTATATATATATATATATGTATATATAGGGTAGACAAAATACGAAACCACATGAGACAAGTTGGAATGGATGATGCGACTGGATGATTGAAGGCTATGAACCATTGTGAACCCCTCCGAAGAAACCTCAAGCGGGGTATTGTTCGCGGGTTGCGCCATATGGAACAGTCATGGCTTCATGGACAACTTACCAGGAGTGCTGTCCTGTACCCCCGTAAGAATCTGACATGTCATTTTTATATGCGTGGGTACCCTCGGCCCTGAAAAGAGGCTTAAGAAAGGGGAGGCCTACAGGGCCTACACTGTACTTACCCTTCTGCAGATAAACATGAAAGCAGCGAAACCGCAAAACCATCATTCTTGTTGGAGGGCCAATGGGAGCATTGCCGAACCTTAGGCAAACACATCTTGCAACCCTTCCACGCGATTCCCGAGAAAGAGACACAACGACCTTGGACAAGCTGTGGCCAACTGTTGACCGGGTGGGGTGGTTTTCAAAGCAAACCAAGGCAACGTCACTCTTTTTGCGGGGGCTCCCCTGTTTGGAGAGAAAAACATGTTGCTGTCTGTGGCCGCCTTCAACCCTCCGGAGGCCGAGTCTTCGCGGTCTTCTGCGCAGATGTACAGAATCCGTTGATGTAGCTGAGACCTCCAGTGGTATCCTTTTGTCTTTTTGTATTGTTGCTTTCGTGGTTGGGGGGGGGGCGGGTCGTTGGTTTTGAACATCACCTTTTGGAGAGCCACTTTAGAATGAGTTTCCTTTTGAGGTAATGTTTAAGGAGGATAATGTAGGGAGCCTTACTTTTTGCTCGGGGAAAGCCGGAAGTCCGGGGTAGATAGCCCCAGGTCACGTGAACTGAATCAAATGGTTGCCACGTGGAATCCACACACCTGGAGGGAGGGAGAGTTACCACGGGGAAGCTAAGTTGGATGCCCCTGCCATAACTGTTGCAACAAAACCAACCGTGCTCACCAAACCCTGCAATATGGCAGGGGCATCCATAGAGTACCCCCCCGAGGATTGGCTCAAGGCCTCCATTTGTTGAGGCCTTTTGTGCAGGGACTGGTGCAGAGTGCATTGGGCACTTCCAATCTGCAAGATCCTAACGTGGGTTTATCTGAAAGGGCTGCCCACAAGAAGAAAGCGGTTGGGGCCAACTTCCCTTTGGAACACCACTAGCGGCTTTCTTCGGAAAATCGGATTGATTTGCCCAACCTCCACCCCCCCTCTTTGGGGGCCTCATGTGGCGGCTGCACCTCTCTCTCATCTCCGTAGTTCCGCCGCTTACCCCGCGGCACCGGAGCGTGGGCCCATCATTTGGGTGTGACTTTCAATGCAATTGTCGTAGCGTTCTTCATGAAGGAAACCACCCGTTGGCCATTCTCAAAGTCGCACAGTTGGCAGGTTGAAGGGAACCGAGACCAGTGACTGACTTGTTGATTTTTCAAGGCATCATCCACCGAACTGGCAACACCACTCTTGGGGTGCCACGTAGCGAAGCACCAAAATAATGGGTCCAGCAGCGAAACGGTTGGCGTGAATGCAGCCGGAACCTTCCGAGCGTCGGGGGGCGGCCCAGAAAAGGTTCCGAGAGTCGGTCAGGGCAGAGGGATGGTGGTGGGAGGGGCAAATCTGCTCAGACGAAAAGGTGTCATGGGAGTCAGGCAACGCGCAGTTGCAGACAGTTGAGGTAGCATTCAGAATTGCTTGAACCACTGTGGAGAACCTTGGATTTGAAGGTTGGGGGGAATTGCCCACGATGGCTGGGGTGAGCTCCACGTTGCATTGCCGGACTCAGACCCTTGCAACCGGAAGAGAAAGGCGGAACGCACAAACACCATGTCGAGTCTTTTGAGGCGACTCAACGGCAAACATCTTGCTTTGTTGGTAGGTAAGGGCTTGTGAATATTGGGTATGCTGGGTTAATGGTGCCTTCCGTGTTCATCAACAGCAACGTGCAGTATCCTTAGACTTGTGTGTTGAAGCAGGAAGCCTTCTGGATGCACTTGGGTCAGCAATAAGCATTACGTGAGTTATTGTTGAACGCCTGGCCAGTTCATTAGTATTCCCGGACCTGTTGTTTTTTGGATTCTGGAACACACATTTCATAGTTAGGGGGGCCTTTATTTTTTGGAAGAGGGGGTTAAAAGATAGAAGCGGCCCACGGTTGTAGCCGGAGGTTAATATTCAACAGTTCGATGGTTTCAAGCTTTACCTTCTTGGCCCATTTAAAGTGAGGAAGTGCGATGCTTTAAGGAGACATAGGGCACCCGGTGCAGGCTGGAACGCCGCTGGACGTTGTCTGCATGCTGGTCTGCGCCTTACTTCGATCCCCGATCGATGCCCCGGAACTCGCAGGAACTTCTCGTTGCTCGCCCCCAAGCGAATCGACCTTTTGTCATTTTAGTTTTCCCCTTTTTGGTGAACTCTTTCAGGTTCCACAAGGTTGGCCTCTCATTTCTGCGTCCTTTGGGCAACTGAAGTGACTCACCGCCTCAGTTCTTATGAGCGTTTGGGCTTGGACCAATTCAGTGGCTTTTCCAAAATGCGAGGAGTTGCGGCCGTGGAGTCAGGTGAGCTGCTAGGGGTGAAGTTTGCGGGATCTGGGAACTGCAAGTGGAAGGGTCCTACAGGTGCGGCAGGTTCCAAAGGCTCCGGAGAAGTTCCGAGGTTCCGACGGTAGGCAAGCCCTGGGCCCTGAAGCGAGGGGCCGCTCGTGACGGAGGGGTCTCTTTTTGAGGAGGCAATCACATCAACTTTCGGCGAACAGGGGCCCAACACCGTGAATGTAATGATATATGATGATATATGAGCCACAGTCAAGATTCAGCATCATCTCTTCAGGCTGCGCGTTGTGGCACACTCGCTCAAGTTTCACTACTGAGTACAGGGATGGCGCTCACCGAATGCGGAGTGAACTTTGTTTCTTGCTGATATGATTGCTGCTGATTGCGTTTCAACAACCCTACAGGAAACCACAAGGGGATGGATGATGTTCAGGCTCGGAGCATATACCCCAACCTCCAATGGTGCCTTTTGTCACTTTTTTTCTTGGAGGGCTCCCTTTCGAGTCAACCACTGGCCTTTTTTCCGCGTACATCCCAAAACGACCTGCTTTACAAGGGAATCCGCCGTATCCCTATATTCCCCTCTTGGCTGTAAACATCGACAAATTGAGATGCGCTTTGTTTGGGTGGGCTGATTTATCTTTTCAACGGGAGCATCGAACCCCATTTGGGATCGTGGCCCAGGTCTCTGAAGAGGACGGCGCACCCTTGACGCTGCAGGCGTTGTAAACGGCCGGCTTGAACCCTTAAAGCCACCTGGAAGGGAAAATGGTTTCCCCTCTAGTTTACCTTCAAAACTACCCGGCGCCCTCAAAGAAAGACACACCCATATGTACTCTCTATGTAGTGGGTATGTAGTGGCGGTATATCAGGGTGTCCTGAACGGGCTCGGATTTCGGCAGGTTCAAGCAAAAACAAAGCAGCCCAATAAACCGGATGTGCTGAGAGACGTGCGCCAACCAAGAGAGAACCGCTCGAAATCGCCCAGAGAACCATCCCCCTGTTACGGGCCGCCGAGGTATACCCCATCTCAAGATGTGTGAAAAAAGCAGCCCCCTGGCCCGCTTCAAAACAGAACCAAACGCGGGTTGGTTAAAGAACCGTGCTTTGAACAGGTTCAGACAAAGGGTTGCCAAACCTGGTATCTGCGAAACTGGCAACGATACATACAGAGGTTTCCTTTTAGTTGGCGAAGTTGGCAACCAGTAGCGGTATGGGGCCTGCGTATATGAACTTATATGCCGCCAATACGTCAAATTGTACGTAAGCTGTTGTAAGGAGTGGGTGCAAGCCAGTTGACCCCGATTGAGTTCTCCAGGCCTAGGCAGAAACAATCCACTCGGTTGCAAGGGGTGTTCCCCACCAGTTAGTGAGCCGAGTTCGGATCCCGCATCGCTGATGACTCAAGTGGGTTTGCTTGAACAGGCGAGGTATCCAGTTTTGCGACACGGCCAATTGCGTGAATGCTTTTCTCCTGGGCCTTTGGTGGACATCATTTAGGTGGGGATCCATGTCCGCCAACCACTTGTGAGGTGGTTCATGTTCAAATGGACGTTTCCCCAAAAACGAGGGACGGGTCAGGTCCATGTAATGTTCAGGAGAGCAAGCCTTCAAATCCTCTTCTCTGAAAGCACTGGGCAATCGGTGGGTGCCGTTTTTTAAATTTGCCAGGAACAGCCCAAATCCATGACGCTCGGCGCGGAGCGCTCCGCGCAACTCGCCAGGTGGTTTTGTCGGTCAACGCGGATGCGCGCAGCGCTTCGGTGAAAGTGGTGGCGACCAACGAGATCTACATGCACGAGCACGCTCGGCGCTTACTGAGCGCATGCGCTCAATTGCTTAGGTGAAGTGACCCGAGTTTAAGTTTTGTTAAATCAGGAATGCGGAAATGAGGGATACAGAAAGTGGCGGGCCCTGACTATTCACATTGACCGCACCCATCAGCAAGCCACAAGGACAACACACCGGTCCTCGCATCCGTTGCTTTCTTTTCCAGGCGCCAACTTTCTACCCTCGGCTCTTTGGAGCACCCTTGGATCAGGAAGAAACAGTTCAGGTTCTGAAGTTTTTTCAGGTTCTGAGGATTTGTCCTTGGAGTAGGTGAGCCTTTGGTTTTCCTCTCTATCCAGAGGTTGACCAGCAGCAGTTGCACAGCGTTTGGATTCCGGACTGGCTGCGCGCTCAGCTGGCAGTATGTCACCATCGCTAAGCCGAACGCTGGACAACCCTAGAGTGTTGGGTGCTAAAAGCCACTATTTTGTGAACTTTCTTGAAAGGAAACCAAAAGGGGAGTGTGATGGAGTGTGTTTTCTCCAGACCCTTTATTTAACACCCGTATCATTTGGTTCTAAGTTGGATTCCCTTACCCACTACCCTCAAGTTTAAAGAACAAAAAAACAACTACACCAACTATGTGGCCACTTTCTAAAGGCACCATCTTGGCTTGATGGATGCCCGTAGCTGCATTAGATGTGTACATATAGAATGGCGCAATATCAAAGCACCTCATATTCAGAGATTCAGATGAGGATTCTTGACATACTCTGTGTGTGGGATCTGATGTGAGTGTCGGAGTATTCTATGGTCCATTTGGCATTTGGGAGAGACATGGGGGGCTCACTAAATTCCCTCCTACAAACACCAGGGGACTTACTTTTAGCCATGTCCGCTTGGGATGCGTTAGCCAGTGGGTCGATTGCGTCGAGCTCTCGGATGTCATGATGTCGTGTGTGTTTTGGAGCAGGACATATACAACCTCTGGACTGATTGCGCCTCATAAACTCAAACTCCCATCAACAAACGTGGACCAATGATGCCTCCAAGGTCATGTTCCCTCTGAGGCCAAGAGCACGTTTCCCAAGGCCCTTGGCGAAAAATGCCAAGATGCAGAAACCCAATCGAAGAGCTCAAGCAATTTGTTTGGGACACGGAAGGGACACCTTTTCAGCTTTGCTGCTTTCTTGGGACCGTGGGCATATGCCGAGGTCGATCATGATCATGGGAACTACCGCCACCACGGACATTGTGGTTCTCAGTGGCACGGAAACTCGGGAGGTTCGAGTTAGGCGCCTCAAGGGGAACTTCCCCGGTTTCGTCTTGGGGCTTCCTTTGTTTCGTTTTAAACCAAAATGTGCCTCTTGGGTTTGCCTTTGTTTGCCTTGAAGCAAGCTGGCCAGGGCTAAGGGCCTGAAAGGGTGACCAATGTGAGAAAGGAGGTTGTTTGCTGAGTTGGTCAAAGGCAATCCGGGCCCTCCCAAAACATGGAACGAGAAGGACTGTCGCTTCAAAAGGGACAGGGCCCAGGAGGCCTTATGCAGGTTCCACGTTGATTTGGCCCTCTGAAAAAGTGAGTTCCCAATTTCGGGACCACGGAGAATCAGATTGAGCAACCATCCATTTACTTCCGAGTCTGTAGTTTGTGGGATGGCTTGCGCCTGTGAAATGAATGGCCATTCGTCGTAATCCTACAGGTTGTCAACTCATTGGACATCGACTCGCAAACCTCAAGTTGTCTACTTCGGCGGACATGAGGAAGTCCTGGGCACTGAACGCGCGTGCAGTGAGGGGCCACATGTTTCGCAGGGCCAGACTCGTTGTTGCACATTGAACTGAGGGTTGCTATTTTGGCGGGCACCCGTTTGAAGGTTGTCTTAAAATGAAAACCACTATTTGGGGGTTAAATGTTGTGCAGTATTGTTTTTGCCGGTTCTTTGCTGTATTGGTAGCCAGAAGCACTGGATGAGAAGGAGATAGTCAAAGGAGAGAACCACGCAGTTTCCATATTAGCTTTGGGGAGGAACGTGGTTTGGTCGTAGGAGGTTCAGTCAAAAATATCCGGCTGGTCCATTTAGGAGAAAAGGACATGGAAGGGACAAGCTCAATTTTTTGGAGAGTGGCCACCAATGATTGCAAGAGGCCGCGGAGCTTTTACTTGAACGACGGAAGATGACATGTGGCGAGCGTGCAGAGAATGGTTGAGTAAGGCTGGCCGCTTTAGACTATACGACGAACTTAAAGGTCCAGGCAATTCGTCGGCGCCAGCCGGAGACTTCTTTCCGAGCAAAACCTTGGCTGAGATATGAGCGTGCCAGGACCCTCCAAAAAATGTGGTTTGCCTTTGGGCTTCCCTTTCAAACAGCTGAAAATACCGTCAAAGAATGACACCCATATCTCGTCCACCAAGCTCAGTGGCACCAGCCGAGTGGCAACATATTGCCACCCTGAAGTTAACTGCCCAGTGGTTCAGGCATGGTAGGGTCAATGGGACGGGAACATTACCAAGCAAGACTGCATTTCATATTGCAGGGTATACTAAGTACGAAACTGAATCTGAACCGCACATATTTATTTTCGGCCAAGAGACTCAGTCAGAAATCTCTGCCATCAGAAAACAAATCCCAAAGTGCGCCTGGCTGCGAATCCAAGTTGCCGGCAAGGCCACGAGTCCGTGCAGAGCTCCTACATCGCCCGGCCGTGGGCTCCTCTTGGCAGCCCCGAGGTCGGCGAAAATGGCGTCGTTTCGAGTTCGGTGGAGCCAATGAAACCAATGCCAGCCAGGTGTTTGGGTGATTGGGGGGGCCTTCTTTTCCAAGAATCCGTTAAGAACCAGGGGAATGGTGGAACAGCGTCTTCTTTTTGGAAGGATGAAACGAACGGGGAATCGAACGGGGAATCGAACCTAGAACAGGGTTAAACAGGTTGTCCTGTTGGGAACGCTGATTCCGCTTCTGGACCAAGGTGATTTTGGGATGAGTGGGTTCGCACTATTGAGGAACAATGCGCGGCGATAAACCCATAGTTACACGGGTTCATATTATATTCAGCCTTCGTCTCTCATGAGAGGTTGCCTTGAATGCTATTTGCCGAGCAAATGATTATTTCTCCACTATCATGAAGTTACCTATTTCCTCCCACCAATTTCGCGGATGGGTGAACCAGGGCCCCTTGGAGGGACCCAGAGGAAGATAATACCCCTTGGTCATCTTTGATTTGATCTAAGATGATTTCCACTGCGTGGTTGCATATTCCATTGAACCTCGGGCAGTGGTGGGGGTAGTGGACGGTGGGCACGGTGAGGACACAGCGCTGGGTGCGGCATCAGCAGCCTGTCCAACAGGAGCGGTTCGCGTGCCAAGGCCCTGCCTCCCGCGTGTGCGATTCGCGGTCGGCAGCGCTGCCCGAATACATTGCGATGGCGTACTGCTCCATTCCGGCACTCCACACACCTGTCGTGATTGCGGGCCGACTGGTGCCGTTTGCACTTCGGTGCAGCGAATGGTTGCAGCTCAACCTCGCGGACGCCGACCTGGCGTTCTGGGAGGCGGCGGATGCCATCTCGACCACGGGACGTGGATTGGGCACCGTGGACGCTATCCAGGCGACCAACTTCAGGGAGTGGCAGCAGGACATGGACACCATCATAGAGCTACATGTGCCCGTGAGGTTGTGCCTGGGCGTCGTTACCCGCTGGAAAGTCCGTGTGGCAGTGTACCAATAGGACCCAGGTTCAAACAATATGCCCAGATGCGTTGATTCATTTGGCAGACACAAGTTCGATCCAACAACCTGGAGGGCCCTATTTAACGCCAAAAACCAACCACAACATCTCCATGTTTTTTCCCCAATTTGTACCGTAGCTCCAACCCCCCAATGCTAGCCTCATAGCCCACCCTTAAACCATGCGCAACCCACCTGCAAGCCACACGATTTCAGCCAGAATTCCCTTGCCAGGGCAAGCAGCTGAGCTGCCCGAGCCAACAGAGCGACATGGCGCCGGGCCCAGCTGGTGGGGCGTTGTTATCATTTCGCGTGGCGACTCGAGGATGAAGCTGAAACAAACGAAGCAATCATGGCGTACTTGCAGGATGTACCATACTGTTGGGTTCATTCCAGCCTTTTTCTGAACTGATGTGTTTTTTTGTTCGGTCTAGAGAAGAATCGTCGCCTGCGGGTGGCTGAGGCGCTCACCTTTTGCCGGGGCATTTGCGTGCTCACCAGCTTCAAGGGGGAGATCCCAAGGCGGGGGAGGAGATCCTGAAGGGGATCCTTCGGGATCGCCAGATACCATCTTGCTGGTTCGATAGGCAGGGAATGAGTTGGAATGACCCCCATAGACCATGCCTTCTGGTTTCTTTTGAGGGGACTCCTGGGTTCATTCCCACATTCGCTGCTTATCGCACCAGTAAATCAACAACCTCTGGGCAAATGAAAGCCATCGACCTGTCGCTCAGCTTTCCAATTGGTGGTTTGGAGCCCGTGGTTGAGTGGAGGGGCCCGTTTTCAAGTCTCTCACACTACCAATCCTGTGAGAAAAGGGACTCAGAAGCTGCTGACAAAGATATTGATAGACTATTTTTAGCTTATGGGGATTTCTCAGTAAAACCCGGTCGGTCCACCCAAGTTTCCCGAGTACCTGTGGGGGAACAAAGAATTTTGTTTCATGCCAAAAAGCCATTTGGAGGGACTGGTCCCTGGTCTGAGGCATTCCCCCTGCGGAAGCAAAGGATTCATTGGGTGTGTCTTTTTTCAGGTTGGACCCCGGCTTCGGTGTTCTTTTTGGTTTCCGTTTTAACACGTACCAAAAAGGGGTAGCTTCAAAAAGAAGGCAGACCCATTTTACATGTGCCATCATGTTTGGTGAGACCCCCCATATTTGCTCCCGGAAGAGCATTGGCAATTCAGAACCCAGGGCTGATGAGCCCACACCCTGCTTTGTGCTTGCTCCATTCATTCAGGTCTTTGCTTAACAAAAGGATTGGACGCCTAAATCACCCGGGAGTCTGAATTTCCCCGTCAACCCCACTATTGGAAGGACATTCGTTACTTTGCCACCAGACATCTCATTTTTGCACCTATAGTTTTGTTTGTGTGGTGGCCTCGCATTCGTTTCTTTGCCAGACACCTTGTCTTTGATTTCTGCTGAGGCTCATTGCTACATTGCCATAGCTTCCCGTTTTAGCTCTTCGCCATTCTTTTCCTAAGCAGCAAATGTAGCATGTGGCAGAATAGGGGGATCCAACAAATGGTGGTGCTTCTTTTGGTTTCCCTTTCCTGCCAGCCCCAAAATGGGTTCAACGAGCACGACCCCAAAGTGAACTGATCCCAGGGAGCGGCAGAGTGATCCCTGCATGGTGGACCCTGTGGTGGTTCTGTTGGCGGCGGACGACGGCACGGTGAACTTCCACTTCTGCCGGGGGACCCACGAAGCTACGGAAGGTCTCATAGATTTCTATGGTTGGGTGTACCTTTGAACTCCCACCAGATGTACATGGGGTTGTCCCTTTGTGATGGTGCCTTTCCCTCAAAAACAAGGAATCCACATGGGACGCGTGTTTCTGTTGAGGTTGAACCTGTTCTAGGTTGGGTAAGATGCAAAAGGAGCACCACCCAAAATAGCAGGACCCTATTGTGACAGATAGCCACATGGAACCCAGAATCCCATTGGTGTTAGAGGATGTTCTTGCTCGGGGACCCTCTTCACATACTGTATCATGGAACCCATAGTCCCATCCTTTTTGGTCCACTTTCCTCCTGCAGGGGGTTATGTCGCTAATTGATTGACAATCAAGGAACTTCCGTGAATGGAGGCTTCAGCATTTGGGGTTTGCTTCAATCCTTTTCAGCCCAGGCAGGGGAACTGTTGACCTTACTTCCCTCTACCACCTTCAGGGAGGGTCCCTTTTAACGCGGTTCTGCACTTTTGGGTTTGCTTCAAATTGCCTTCTAACCAGAAAAAGCAACTTGCGGGGATCTAAGTTAAGCCTAGAGGCAGAGAGAAAGGGCAGCGAAAGTGGAAGCTCAAGGATTCTAAGGGAAGCATAAGCAAAACCAACCCGATTGCGAGCTCTTGCAGCATTTGCCACGCATTGGAGCCGGCATGAACGCTCACAAAGACTGTCATTGAACACGGATTGCACTTGCCCTGGCTCTGGACAAATCACAAAGACTGGAAGACACCCGTGTTGATTCAGAACTATAATTATCAAATAGATCAAATAGCATTTTTTGCCCGTCTTTCCACAGTCCTAAGCTCAAGACAACCAAGCCGGGGTCAAACACTTTGGTGTTTTCTTACTTTTCTGACCGACTTCCTCTGAAAGGGTCGGATGGGGAGCCTGACCACACGTATTTGTAAGTGCCGTACTGCACTTGGCGCAAACCGAGAGGGAACCCGTTTGATTGGGTCTGCTGACTCTTAAATCAATCATAATCGATGTTGACCCTAGATTCATCAACCCCAGTTTAGTATTAGGGGGGTGTCCCTGGGTTTAGTGGGAAACATCACTGTTGGAGGGGAACACCCCGCTATTGCTAGGATGGGTTTATGAATCTGGGGTTCCCCCCCTGCAACAATGGAAGCGGACAGAGGGTCGCACGCTTTGCCGCCAGCTTACGTGCTGATTCAACATACATGCCTCTCTGTAGATGTCTGAGTTTCCGAAAGGGTACCAGTTCCGCACTCGAATATATTCGGGTGTTTTATACTGTCGGATTTCAGCTTCCTTTCGTTACCCCCTCCAAACAAGTCGATTTAGGCCAGTCAACTCAGCTTGTCAGCTTCTGAACCCACCTATGTAGGGTCACCCAGCTAGCTTCAACAACGTGCTGAGCACATTGATTTATTAGGTCCATTTACTGTGATCTCTTGGTCTCCGCTTTAAAGTGAGATTTTAGTCATGGGTGTGTCTTTTTGGGGGACCCCCAAGCTGGTTGTTCTTGGGGTTCCCCTTGAAAACTAACAAACAGAGGGTTCCCCAAGAGAAAGGACCACGGGACTCAGCCACTGACGGATGTTTTTCGCCTGCTGAGTAGGTGACCACAACCTCCCGGCGCCGGCGAGTTCCCGGCAGCCAGCGCCGCTGCGGATCAAGACGCCAGGCCCGGGGTTTCGGACCTGTGCCCTTGGACGTGACACCGCCCAGTTTCTGGCCACTGGCCTGCCCACATGAACCATGTCCTTTAGATGCTAGACTGTGTGTCCCTGCACGGTCTGTGAGAAGGTTGGATTGTTCAACCACTGTGATACCGAGCAGTTCGGCCCCTGAGACTCTGCGCAACTTGTAGCGAGCAAAACAGAGCAAGGAGATCATGTGTCAAACTAGCGGTATGGCCCAAACTGGCAGTTTGCCTCTCGGTTTCCTCTAAAACCACCCTAAAAATGGTACCCTCGAAAAACCACATCCAGATAGGAATCTACAGCCAGAACTGATCATATTGTACGTATTGACGGACAAATCGACAAGCCGCACCAGTGGATAGGTGGTTTGTCCCATTTTGCAATAGTGGGTAATCCATCTTAACTGGTCAACTGGCGATTGAACCGTTGAACAACGCCAAAGAACTCACCTTTCCGACCCAAGGACCACCCCTCAAGGGTAAACCCAGAAAGGAGCAAATGATGGAATAAAGGCTGGGTTCAGGTAAACAAGCCCGTACAGCGGGAGCATAGATATGTTCTGCTTTGGCGACTGATTGGGCGAAACTTGTGTTTTTTTGAAACAGCGGCCCTCCAACAATGGTGAGCGGATGTGGATGGCGTTCAAAGGAAGCCAACCATCTTTTTTGGGCAGCCCAATTCAGGAAGCACTTGCGAAAGGCCCGTTGGAGGTGGGTCTCTCTATTTGCCTCCAGAAGGGGCAAGCTTCTGGAGGGCAATGTGGAAACGCATAATAATAGGAATCACCAGGGCATCACTGATGAACTCAGATGTCAAGTGGAGGACCCTCTTTGAAAGAAAAACGGTCAAGCGTCCCAACCCCCATGCCCATTTTCCTCGTTTTTGGTGGGGTGCCTGGTTCCCGTTAAAAGCCAAGCACCCAAAAAGGAATCCGTGCCCTTCTTTTCCTGCGAAATTCCACTGGCCTCGGACCAGCAAGCGCGCATAAGGGCGTGAGCAGTATGCGCATTTGGAAATGGCTTGTAGGAGAGCTTAAAACCCAAGTACCTCATGATCATGGGAGAACGTGTGTCATCTTCTAGCCCCATTGCCTGCTTTTTGCGGCCCACCTCGATCACGCTGGCCGCTCGCCTGGCTCCGCGAGCTTCCCGGCGCTTGTGCTTCCTTGCGTCTCGCAGAGCCTTGGAGCCAAGGTCCCTGTCAACCCAGACAGAACAAGGGTCCCTTCTAGCGATATAGAGTAAGAACTTACCGGGAAGTATATGCATGCATATATACACTTACATCGTATATATATATATATATCAATATTATACATGTTTGTATGACTCATACATATACATATATATATATATATCGATTACATATATATATATATATAAATACCGTGGAAATTGTGAACACTTACTGTATATTGTGGAGCCACGGGAAGGAGATCCCTTTTCCTCACACTTCCAGAGAAAACCAAACTGACGGAACAGCAATCAATTTCAAAGCACCCATTCAGAGGGCAACTCTTAAGATGTCACTGACCCATAGGTTCCCAACAACGACGCCAGGTGTTTTGAGTAGAAGGATTTGATTGACCCGCCTCATGCAGCTTCACTCCGCAAATCCCTACACTTCAAACTTTGTGGAAGAACCAATTGAGTGGCAACCAGTTTGCACATGTTGCCAATACACCGAGGTTACGTCGAATGGTTGCTTCCCAACGCGGCTCAGCTTCCTTTGAAATGTCGCCCGCCTCACCGGTGCTGGAGCGGGCGAGCCCCAGCCAAAACGCGCAGCAGGGGGTGCTGATCCCGCCGGAGTCGCGGCATGCTGTGAGCACCTTTCAGGAGGGCGGATGGAAATTCCTGGGCGGGGCGGGGTTGGTTCTTTTTATCGTTTCGGGGTGGGGGGCTATATTCGGGTTTTGGAGGTTTGGGCGTGGGTCGATTTGGGGGAGTCGGTGTGTGGTTTGTTTGGGAGTACAAGATGTCCGTCCACAGAATCTTGTCGAACTTCCGCCCCCTTCGCAGAACTGTTTCTAGCTGCACGGAACCTCCTGGCGGTTTGTTCATGTTTTGACTGTCGCGAACCCCTTGGGCTAGAGCCCCCAGTCACTAACGTTGGGGCAGTGTCCAACCTCGGCTCTTCGTACTAACCCCCGGGTTGCAGTGTTTCGCAAGTTGCCTGGAGGAGCGGGAGAAGTTTGCGCTGTGATGTGCCTCGTTACATGCCGTTACGTAAGCCAGCCCGGGTCCGGTGACCCCTTGTCTGCCATCACCTGGCACCGGGCAGTTGCGACTTTCCAGCGTCAAGCCCCGTTTTCCGGTTGCATGCCCATCAAGCGAGGGCTCTGGTGCCGAGTTGCGCGTTGCGTTGCATACTCTCAAACACAGTCTCCCCCCCCCCCCGCCCCAAATTGGGATTATTGTTGTTATGACGAATTTTATCATTCTCATTTGGTGTAGCTTTATTTCCAACAGGTATGACGGTATCCAGAGTCATTTCGTTTCTATCGTAATGTCTAGCGGTAGTATAGTTCATTGCAAGTTTCGTGTGCATGGTCAGTTTCTTGGTGGGGCCCCGGAGCCATCTGGGCAGATATGCGGTTGTTGTTAGTTAAAGAACCACTGTGTCATTTTTTGGGTTCCCCTTCAAACTCCTATGCACCTGCTGTTTGGGGTGCCTTTTCGGAGTGTTCGGCAAGGGGACACCGGTCGTGGGACCCCGTTCTGCCGACGCGGCACTCGCTTTTCGCGAGGCGGGGGTGACAGTCTTCAAGGCGGTGGTGGGTCCTGGCACGCTCTTCCTGCCCTCCGCAGCCCGGGACCCCAGATTGAATCCAAAGCTCGGCTGGAGCGGCGAGAGGCCGTGCCGCAAAAAAGTCGGGTAGCCCCTCCCCATCCCTCCCCATCTGCTAGGAATCCAACAAATTGACGGTCTTCCTGGGTCCAGAATTTTGAGCCGCACCCAAAAAGATGAAAGCAAGGCTGAACGAATTGATGTTGAAGTTCGCTGCGCGCGCCTTACGAGCGAAGAACCCCCGGGCCGAAGAGGGCTACACGAGGGCTTACCCCCGCAGAAAGGTTCGATGAGAACCCTTCGACCAGAACTCCTTCTTAGAGATTCATTCACCTGGGGTCATTATGTTGACTGTTTCTCGAGGTTTATCAAAGTCAGCTGGGGCTTCACCTACCTTGGGTGACTTTGATGGCAATTAACTGACTTGCACAAAGCCGATCTTTGGACCTTTTTGTTTGTCTTACTTTATCACCTTCTATTTGTGGGTCCAATCTGGGCGAGCAACTCGCATATTGACTGTTTCGGGGGGTATCAAAGTTGGCTGGGCTGAGTCCCGTTCACCTACCACCTGGGCGACTTTTGTCAAATAAGCCGCGGGGCTGCGCAGGTGAAGAACGCGGGCCTTGTGACGGCGCTCTGCGTCAGCCTGGGCGCGGGTGCACCTCGGAATTGGAACAAGAGCTTCTATGATGGGAGGGTACACCTTTTGAGCTCATGTTAAGGAAAGCAAAGGGACTCGTCCGTTTTGTTTGGGGGGGTGTCCTGTGTCCCGGCTTTATTCCAACCCGGTTCTTCCTTTTTGGTGGTAAAGCTTGAAAGATCACCTGTTTGGCCCATGTACGGTGAGTTTCCCTAGGGGTGATGTTATGCAGGGAAGTTGGTCGAAACAAAGTCGCAGGCAAAGAACGGCTCAAAGGAAGTTCCTTTGTAGAGAATAACATGTGTGCTCCATGCTTTGGTTAGTTTGGTATTTGTTCGGTAGGGTTTGGCGGGTTTGGCCGACCCAAAAGAAAAGGGTTGAGCCATATGTTATTTTTCTTTGTAGATGCTCTGACAAGCGTGCCTTTACAGCCACTTTGAGGCAAATGAGTTTCAATCTTTCCCAGGCATCTTTGTCCAGACGAATCGTATCCACTTTGTAGTAGGCGCTGTGATTTTTGTCCTTTTTACACTGTGAGTTGGCAGGAGAAAACAGCAAACCTTCAAGTTTG